GTAACCGAAAAATTGAACAAATGAAAAACTAAAAAATCGGAAAATTTAAAAACCGAAAAATTGAAAAATCGAAAAATAAAAAACTTAAAAAATTGAAGACAACAAATCTAAAACCGAAAAACTGAAAAGTAGAATTATTCTACAATTGATAAATCTAAAATGTAGGAAACGAAAAATCGAAACATGGAGAAATCGAAACAACAAAAGAACGAGAAATCGAAAAGTCGAGGAGTCAAAAAATCGAAAAAATGAAAAGCTAAAAAATCCAAAAATTTAAAAACCAAAAAATTGAAAAATCGAAAAATCAAAAACTTAGAAAATTGAAGATCACAAATCTAAAACCGAAAAACTGAACAGTAGAATTATTGTACAATTGATAAATCTAAAATTTATTTTGGAAATCGAAAAGTCGAGGAGTCGAAAAATTGAGAAATTGAGAAATCGAAACAGGCGAAAATGACATATCGAAATGTTAAAAATTAAAAAAATCATAATTAAAAAAAACTAAATAAATCGAAAAATTGAAAAACTGAAAAATCGAGTAATAAAAAAATCCAAACGTCGAAATCTCGCTAAATCGAGGAATCGAAAAACCGAAAACTGAGTAAGCAAGAAATTCAAAATCGGGAAATTGAAAAATTGAAACATCAAATAAAAGATTGAGATATCGAAAAGTCGCGAAGTTGAAAAAGTGAAAAAGTGAGAAATCGAAATAAAATTGAAAACTTAAGATAAGAAAAATCGCAAAATCAAAAATTTTAAAAAAAGGAAGACTGAACACCACAAATCCAAAACTAAAAAATTGAAAAATCGAGAAGTTGAAACACCAAATACTAAAAAATCTAATTATTGGTATTGTAGGTCTTACTCAAAAATCTAAAATTTAAAAATTCGAAAAACTGAAAAGTAGAATTGTTGTACAATTGATAAATCTAAAATTTTCAAAATTTGAAAAACTAAAGTATTTAATTTGAAAAAATCTAAAATTTTAAAATCGAAAAATTAAAACAATCTAAAAAGTAAAAAGTGGACAAATCGAAAAGTCGAAAAATCGAAATAAGTCAAAATCCAAAAATCGACAAGCTCAACTTAAAAAAATTTATAATTAAAAAGAATCACTAAATCGAAAAATTTAAAAACCGAAAAATCGGTAAATAGAAGGAACAAAAAATCCAGACATTCATATCTCGATTAATCGAGAAATCGAAAAACTGAAAAATCAAAAAATGGAGAAGCGAAAAACTGAAAATCGAAAAATTGAAAAACTGGAAAATTGAAACATAAAATCGAGAAGCCGAAAAATTGAGAAATTGAAAAACTGACCAAGCGAAAAATTAAAAACTCGAAAAAGTGAAACATGAAAAGATGGAGAAGTCAAAAAATTGAGAAATCGAAGTAGGCTAAAATCTAAATCGAAAACTTAAAAATTGAAAAATGTGTAATTAAAAAAACTCGATAAATCGAAAAATGGAAAAACCGGAAAATCGAGAAATGGTGTAATAAAAAAATCCAAACGTCGAAATCTCGCAAAATCGAGTAACCGAAAAATTGAAAAAATGAAAAACTAAAAAATCGGAAAATTTAAAAACCGAAAAATTGAAAAATCGAAAAATCAAAAACTTAAAAAATCGAAGACAACAAATCTAAAACCGAAAAACTGAAAAGTAGAATTATTCTACAATTGATAACTCTAAAATGTAGGAATCGAAAAATCGAAACATGGAGAAATCGAAACAACAAAAGAACGAGAAATCGAAAAGTCGAGGAGTCGAAAAATCGAAAAAATGAAAAGCTAAAAAATCCAAAATTTAAAAACCAAAAAATTGAAAAATCGAAAAATCAAAAACTTAGAAAATTGAAGATCACAAACCTAAAATCGAAAAACTGAAAAGTAGAATTATTGTACAATTAATAAATCTAAAATTTATTTTAGAAATCGAAAAGTCGAGGAGTCGAAAAATTGAAAAATTGAGAAATCGAAACAGGCGAAAATCCCAAATCGAAATGTTAAAAATTAAAAAATTCATAATTAAAAAAACTAAATAAATCGAAAAATTGAAAAACCGAAAAATCGAGTAATAAAAAAATCCAAATGTCGAAATCTTGCTAAATCGAGAAATCGAAAAATCGGAAGCCTGAGTAAGCAAGAAATTCAAAATCGGGAAATTGAAAAATTGAAACATCAAATAAAAGATTGAGATATCGAAAAGTCGCGAAGTTGAAAAAGTGAAAAATTGAGAAATCGAAATAAAATTGAAAACTTAAGATAAGAAAAATCACAAAATCAAAAATTTTAAAAAAAGGAAGACTGAACACCACAAATCCAAAACTAAAAAATTGAAAAATCGAGAAGTTGAAACACCAAATACTAAAAAATCTAAATATTGGTATTGTAGGTCTTACTCAAAAACCAAAAATTTAAAAATTCGAAAAACTGAAAAGCAGAATTGTTTTACAATTGATAAATCTAAAATTTTAAAAATTTGAAAAACTAAAGTATTTAATTTGAAAAATCTAAAATTTTAAAATCGAAAAATTAAAACAATCTAAAAAGTAAAAAATGGACAAATCGAAAAGTCGAAAAATCGAAATAAGTCAAAATCCAAAAATCGACAAGCTCAACTTAAAAAAATTTATAATTAAAAAGAATCACTAAATCGAAAAATTTAAAAACCGAAAAATCGGTAAATAGAAGGAACAAAAAAATCCAGACATTGATGTCTCGATTAATCGAGAAATCGAAAAACTGAAAAATCAAAAAATGGAGAAGCGAAAAACTGAAAATCGAAAAATTGAAAAACTGGAAAATTGAAAAACATAAGATCGAGAATTCGAAAAATTGAGAAATTGGAAAACTGACTAAGCGAAAAATTAAAAACTCGAAAAATTGAAACATCAAAAGATGGAGAAGTCAAAAAATAGAGAAATCGAAGTAGGCTAAAATCTAAATCGAAAACTTAAAAATTGAAAAATGTGCAATTAAAAAAACTCGATAAATCGAAAAATGGAAAAACCGGAAAATCGAGAAATGGTGTAATAAAAAAATCCAAACGTCGAAATCTCGCAAAATCGAGTAACCGAAAAATTGAAAAAATGAAAAACTAAAAAATCGGAAAATTTAAAAACCGAAAAATTGAAAAATCGAAAAATCAAAAACTTAAAAAATTGAAGACAACAAATCTAAAACCGAAAAACTGAAAAGTAGAATTATTCTGCAATTGATAAATCTAAAATGTAGGAAACGAAAAATCGAAACATGGAGAAATCGAAACAACAAAAGAATGAGAAATCGAAAAGTCGAGGAGCCGAAAAATCGAAAAAATGAAAAGCTAAAAAATCCAAAAATTTAAAAACCAAAAATTGAAAAATCGAAAAATCAAAAACTTAGAAAATTGAAGATCACAAATCTAAAACCGAAAAACTGAACAGTAGAATTATTGTACAATTGATAAACCTAAAATTTATTTTAGAAATCGAAAAGTCGAGGAGTCGAAAAATTGAAAAATTGAGAAATCGAAACAGGCGAAAATCCCATATCGAAATGTTAAAAATTAAAAAAATTGAATATTAAAAAAACTAAATAAATCGAAAAATTGAAAAACCGAAAAATCGAGTAATAAAAAAATCCAAACTTCGAAATCTCGCTAAATCGAGAAATCGAAAAATCGAAAAACTGAGTAAGCAAGAAATTCAAAATCGGGAAATTGAAAAATTGAAACATCAAATAAAATATTGAGATATCGAAAAGTCGCGAAGTTGAAAAAGTGAAAAATTGAGAAATCGAAATAAAATTGAAAACTTAAGATAAGAAAAATCGCAAAATCAAAATTTTAAAAAAGGAAGACTGAACACCACAAATCCAAAACTAAAAAATCGAAAAATCGAGAAGTTGAAACACCAAAAACTAAAAAATCTAATTATTGGTATTGTAGGTCTTACTCAAAAATCTAAAATTTAAAAATTCGAAAAACTGAAAAGTAGAATTGTTGTACAATTGATAAATCTAAAATTTTAAAAATTTGAAAAAATAAAGTATTTAATTTGAAAAATCTAAAATTTTAAAATAGAAAAATTAAACAATCTAAAAAGTAAAAAATGGACAAATCAAAAAGTCGAAAAATCGAAAAAAGTGAAAAACTCGAAGGAAAAAAATTGAAAAATTTTCAAACTGAAAAATCGAAAAATTGAGAAATCGAAAAAATCGAGAAAACGAAAAATTGGAAAATCTGAAACCTGAAAAATTGTAAAATTAAAGAATTGAAGAACTAAGAAACCGTTGACAAGTCCAGAAGTTGACAAGTCCAAAAATGAAAAATTGGAAAACCGAACAATTTAAAAATCAAAAATTGAAGAGTTGAGAAATTAAAAGTTGTAAAATTAAAACAATGGAAAATTGAAAAATGGAAAGATAAAAATCCAAAATTTGAAGAATAGACAAATGGAAAAATTCCATTGTAGAAAGATTGAAAAACTGAATAAGCGAAAAATCGGGAAAACGAAAAATAGAAAAATCGAAGTCGAAAAATCGAAGCTTTAAACAAATCGAAAAATTTGAAAATCTAAAATCTGAAAAATTGAAAAATCCAAAAATTAAAAAATTGAAAACCCAAAGAATTGAAAAATTAAAATATCTCGAAATTGAAAAATCTAAAATTTTATAATAAAAATCTAAAGACAGAACAAAAAAAAAATTAGAACATTGAAATTTCAATAAATCGGAACATCGAAAAGTTGAAAAGTCGAAAATCAAAAATTTCAGAAATCAAAAAAACGGAAGATAGACGTCGAAACATCGAAAAACTAAAAAATCTAGAATTTAAAAATTCAAAAAACGGAAAGGTAGAAAGGTCATAGAACTGATAAATTTAAAATTAAAAAAAAATCAAACTGAAACAACGAAAAATTGAGAAATCGAAAAATCCAAGTCGAAAAATCGAAAAATTAAAAAATCTAAAACCCGAAAAATTGAAAAACCGTACAATTTAAAAATCAAAAATTGAAGAGTTGAGAAATTAATGAAAGGGTTAATCTTAAAGCAATCTGTAACAGTAAATCCACCATGGACTACTCCAAACCCGCTTTGTTGGAACGTGCTGCCTGAACAGACGGTACTGATAGCGGACACAGACGATTGCCAGATGTACTGGGAGTGCCGTAGTTCCGTGTTGACTCATGAGACGTGTCCGCCGTACTTGCTCTTCGACGAATCCAGGCAATTGTGCGACTTTCCCGAGTTTGTCAACTGCCTAGGTTGGTACTAGGAGAAGTACTGCAATCAGTACTGGGGTACGTTTCAGGTCCTACGCCAACCCCGGATCCTGATTTCACCACATCGGACACCGACGATCCTCGCTGTGCTGACATGCAAACTTCGTACTGGCTCCATCCCACTCTCTGTGACGTGTACATCGAGTGTTATCGTGGGCACAGTTACCAGATGGATTGCCCACCTGGGCTTTATTTCAGCGCCATTGCGAAGAAGTGTGTGCCCCCTGGCCAGTCGGAGTGCGGGCGGACTACACCCACTGAAGGTAGTACCATTTTATTTTATAATTTCTATAACTTAGTGGCGGTTATTTTATGATGGTACTTGCAGGTCCTACGTATCCGTCGGATTGGACTGGGGAACCAGATTGTCCTTACCCTGAGTCTGAAGGAAAACTGAGTCCTGTTCGTGGTGACTGTACGAAATTCTACGAGTGTGCTGGAGGCAGAAACGTCATATTTGATTGTCCCTCGAATTTGTGGTACAGCGATTTTTACAAAGAGTGTGTTTATCCATATCAGTCAGAGTGTACATGGGATAAGCTCTCGTTTCTAAACCGTATATATAAATTTGTGTTGAGGTATTAATGGAAACATGATGTGTATTAATAACTGTAGTTTATTGGTTAATTAAAACATTATGGGACAAATAAAAGTCAACAGAATATTGTGTTTATTTTAACCACAAGTCTGAAAAGCGTTCTAGGTTCTAAATGATTGCGAACATATTCCTTCATCAGGATAATGACGGTCTATGTAAATTAAGCCTTCAGGACAATTTCTTTCAAAAGCCAAGTTGTTAACACATTCTATAAATTTGTTCTTACTAATCGGGTGTTTGAAATACGGCTTCCTTGACCCACATCCAGGGAAATTGTAACCTAAAAATTTCACATAGATGATGTATTTAGTTTATGTTTGTGGTCTTACTCAAGGGAACGGGTGCCTCGGGGGGTGGAGTAGCTGCAAAATATTAAACAAAAAAAAAAATTAGTCGAAAGTTATTTTGACAGAACTTCCCTTGCCCCTGAAGTACAGCCTAACACCGTCAAGTATGTACAGTCTTAAATATATTTCAAGAAGATATCCGACGGGAAAAATGTTTTTTGGAAAATCGATTGTCGAGAAATCTAGCAACCGGAACATCGATAATCGAGAAATCGGGAAATCAAAAAATTTTAAAAATCGAAAAATCAAAGAATCGTAAAATTGAAAAATTGAAACATCGAAAAACGTAAAAATTAAAAAATCAAAAATTGAAAAATAAAAAATTTAAAATTTAATCATCGAGTCGAAAAGTCGAAAAACGGAAAAATCGAGAAATTGAAAATTACGAAAACTGAAATGACGGAAAATCGAAGAATTAAAAAGCCGAAAAATCGAAATATCGAGAAAATTAAAAACTAAAACATCGACAAATCGAAAAGTCGAGAAGTCGAAAAATCTAAAAATTGAGAAATTGAAATAGGTCGAAACCCAAAAATCGGGAAGTTCAAAATCACAGAATTTAACATTGAAATCTCGATAAATCAAAAAAACTGAAAAATCAAAAAATTGGGTAAGCGAAAAATTGGAAATGGAGAAATTGAAAAACTGAAACATCAAAAGATCGAGAAATCGAAAAATCGAGAATTCGAAAAATTGGGAAATCGAAAAAGGCCAGAATCCAAAAAATTGAAAAATCCGAAAATCGAGAAATGGAGTAATAAAAAAATCGAAACGTCGAAATCTCGCAAAATCGAGACATCGAAAAATTGAAAAACCAAATATTTACAAAATTGAACACCACAAATCTAAAACTGAAAAACTAAAACATCCAGAAGGCAAAACACCTAAAACTGAAAGATCTAAAATTTAATTCGAACAACTGAAAAGTAGAATTTTTGTACAATTGATAAATCTAAAATTTTAAAAATTGAAAAATTAAAATATCTAGAAATTGAAAAATCTAAAATATAGAAATCGAAAAATTGAAAACTGAATAATGGGAAAATCGAAACATTGAGAAATCGAAACAACAAACGATCGAAGAAGTCGAAAAATCGAAATGGGTCAAAATCCAAAAATTGAAAAGTTGAAAATCGAAAAATTTTAAATTAAAAGGAATCGATAAATCAAAAATTGAAAAACTGAAAAATCGACAAACATAAGAAACAAGAAATCCAAACATTGAAATTTCGATAAATTGAGAAATCGAAAAATCGAAAAATTGAGTAAGCAAGAAATTGAAAATCGGGAAACTGAAGAATTGAAATATCAAATAAATGATGGGAAATCGAAAAGTCGAGAAGTCGAAAAAGTGAAAAATTGGTAGATCGAAATAGGCCAAAACCTAAAATCGAAAAGTTAAGAAATAAAAAATAATAAAAAAACTCGAAAAATTGAAAAACTGAAAAATCGGAGTAATAAAAGAATCCAAACGTCGAAATCTCGCCAATCGAGAAATTGAAAAATTGAAAAATCAAAATATCGGGAAATCAAAAAGTCGAATGATCAAAAAATTGAAAAATCGAAAGCGACGAAAATCCCAAATTTAAAAGTTAAAAATTGAAAAATTCATAATTAAAAAACTCGATAAATCGAAAAATTGAGAAACCCGAAAATCGAGTAATAAAAAATCCAAACGTTGAAATCTCGCTAAATCGAGAAATCAAAAAATCGAAAAACTGAGCAAGCAAGAAATTCAAAATCCGGAAATTGAAAAAATTAAAAAAAAGGAAGATTGAACACCACAAATCCAAAACTAAAATATTGAAAAATCGAGAAGTTGAAACACCAAAAACTAAAAAATCTAAAATTTAAAAATTCGAAAAACTGAAAAGTAGAATTGTTGTACAATTGATAAAATTAAATTTTAAAAATTGAAAAAAAATAAAATATCTAGAATTTGAAAAAACTAAAATTTTAAAATCGAAAAATTAAAAAAATCTAAAAAGTAAAAAATGGACAAATCGAAAAGTCGAAAAATCGAAAGAAAGAGGAAATATCGAAGGATAAAAAATTGAAAAATTCTCAAACTGAAAAACCAAAAAAATTGAGAAATCGAAGAAATCGAGAAAACGAAAAGCCGAAAAATCGAAGTCGAAAAATTGAAGATTTAAAAAATCGAAAAATTTGCGAATCTGAAACCTGAAAAATTGTAAAACCAAAGAATTGAAATACTGCGAAACCTAAACATTGACAAGTCGAGAAGTTGACAAATCCAAAAATGAAAAATTGAAAAACCGAACAATTTAAAAATCAAAAATTGAAGAGTTGAGAAATTGAAAACTTGTAAAATTGAAACAACAGAAAATTGAAAAATGGAAAAATAAAAAATCCAAAATTTGAAAAGTAGAAAAATGCAAAAATTCCATTGTAGAAAGATTGAAAAACTGAGTAAGCGAAAAGTTGAAAATCGAGAAACTGAAAAATTGAAAAATCGAAAAATCAAGAAATAGAACCAATAAAAAATTAGAATATTGAAATTTCGATAAATCGGAAGAATGAAAAGTTGGAAAATCGAAAAACCAAAATTTTTAAAAACCAAAAAATTGAAAGATCAAAAACATAAAAAAGAGGTGGAAAATCGGGAGGTCGAAACATCAAAAAACCAAAAAAATCTGGAATTTAAAAATTCGAAAAACTGAAAAGTAGAAAGGTCGTAGAACTGATAAATCTAAAATTTTCAAAATAGAAAAATTAAAATATCTAAAATTTTAAAATCGAAAACCAAAAATCTAAAAAGTAAAAAATGGAGAAATCGAGAAGTCGAAAAATCAAAAAACAAGAAGAAAAATCGAAGAATCAAGAAATTGAAAAATTCTCAAACTGAAACATCGAAAAATTGAGTAATCGGGAAAACGAAAAATAGAACAATTGATGTCGAAAAATCGAAGCTTTAGAAAAATCGAAAAATTTGAAAATCTGAAATCTGAAAAATTGAAAAATCCAAAAATTAAAAAATTGAAAACCGAAAAAAATGAAAAATTAAAATATCTAGAAATTGAAAAACCTAAAATTTTAAAATCGAAAAATTAAACAATCTAAAAATCTAGAAATAGAACCAATAAAAATTAGAACATTGAAATTTCAATAAATCGGAAAATCGAAAAGTTGAAAAATTGAAAAACCAAAAAATCAAAAAAACTGAAAGTTCAAAAATATAAGTCGAAAATTGAGAGGTCGAAACATCAAAAAATTAAAAAATTTTAATTAAAAAATTCAAAAAACTGAAAAGTAGAAAGGTCATAGAACTGATAAATTTAAAATAAAAAAAAACTCAAACTGAAACAACAAAAATTGAGAAATCGAAAAACCGAAGTCGAAAAATTGGAAAATCTAAAATCTGAAAAATTTAAAAATTGAAGAATTGAAAACTGAGAAACCGAAACACTGGTACGCCGAAAAGTTGATAAATTCAAAAATTGAAAAATTGAAAAACCGTACAATTTAAAAATCAAAAAAATTGAAGAGTTGAGAAATTGAAAACTTGTATAAAATTGAAACAACGGAAAATTGAAAAATGGAAAAATGAAAAATCTAAAATTTGAAGAATTAAAATATTGAAGAATCGAAAAATGGAAAAATTCCGATTTTGAAATGTTGAAAAACTGAGTAAACGAGAAATTGAAAAATGGAAAAATCGAGAAAGAACCAATAAAAAATTAGAACATTGAAATTTCGATAAATCCAAAAACCAAAAATTTTAAAAATCAAAAAAGTGAAGATCAAAGATATAAAACCGAAAAGTCGAAACTTGACAAGTCGAAACATCGAAAAACTAAAAAATCTAGAATTAAAAATTATTAAAATTGAAAATTCAAACACCTAAAAAACCGAAAAATGGAAAAATCGAATCATTGAAGAATTGGAAAACTGAAAAATCGAAAGATTGACAAATCGAGAAATGGGAAAATCAAGAAATTGATTAATCGAGAAATCGAAAAATTTCAAGATCGACAAATTGAAAAGTAGGAAGGGTAAAACTGATAGATCTATAATTTTAAAAATTGAAAAATTAAAATATCTAGAAATTGAAAAATCTAGAATTTAAAAATCGAAAAATTTAAAAATTTAAGAAGAAAAAAAATGGAGAAATCGAAAAATCGATAAAAAGGAAGAAAAACCCAGAGGAATAAAAAAATTGAAAAATTTTCAAACTGAAACATCGAAAAATTGAGAAACCGAAACACTGAAAAGCCGAGAAGTTGAGAAATCCACAATTTGAAGAACCGAACAATTTAAAAATAAAAAAATTGAAGAGTTGAGAAATTGAAAACTTGTAAAATTGAAGCAACGGAAAATTGAAAAGTGGAAAAATGAAAAATCCAACATTTAAAGAATCGAGAAATTGAAGAAAAATTCCAATGTTGAAATACTGAAAAACTGTGTAGGCGAAAAGTTTAAAATCGAGAAACTGAAAAATTGAAAAATCGAAAAATCGAGAAATAGAACCAAAAAACTTGACCATTGAAATTTCAATAAATCGGAAAATCGAAAAGTTGGAAAATCGAAAAACCAAAAATTTTAAAACCCAAAAAATTGAAAAATCAAAAACATAAAACCGAAAGGTCGAAAATCCAGAGGTTGAAACATCACAAAACTAAAAAAATCTAGAATTTAAAAATTCGAAAAATTGAAAATACAAACACCTGAAACATCGAAAAACTGAAAAATCGAAAAATTGAAGAATCCAAAAACTGAAAATCGAGAAAGATTAAAAAATCGAGAAAAAAAAGAAAAATCGAGGAACCAAAAAATTGAAAAATTCTCAAACTGAAAAATCGAAAAATTGAGAAATCGAAGAAATCGAGAAGATTAAAAAAGATCGAAAAATTGAAAATCTTAAAACTGAAATATGGGACAATTGAGAAATTAAAATATGAAAATATTGAGAAAATGAAAATTTTAAGAATCGAGAAATTGAAAAACCCAACAAAATATCGAAAAATTGAAAAGTGTGAAATTAAGAAAAAAAAAATTAAAAAAACTCGATAAATCGAAAAATTGAAAAACTGAAAAATCGAGAAATGGAGTAATAAAAAAAATACAAGTCGAAATCACCCTATATCGAGAAATTGAAATTTGGAAAATTGAGAAATTAAAAGTTCAAAAATCGAGAAATTGAAAAGCCGAAAAATCGAAAATTCAAAAAATTGAGAAATCGAAATTTGTCAAAATCCAAAAATCGAAAGGTTAAAAATTGAAAAATTTAAAATTAAAGAGAATCGATAAATCAAAAAATAGAAAAACTGAAAAATCGAAATGTTAACAATTGAAAAAATCATAATTAACAAAAACACGATAAATCGTAAAATTAAAAAATCGGAAAATTGCGTAATAAAAAATCCAAACATCGAAAGCTCGCCAAATCGAGAACTCGAAAAATTAAAAAAGTGAAAAACGAACAAATCGAAAAATTAAAATATCTAAAAAGTAAATAATTGAGAAATCGAGAAGTTGAAAAACCTAAAAAAGAAGAAAAATCCAAAAAATTGAAAAATACTCAAACTGAAGCATCGAAAAATTAAGAAATCGAAAAAATCGAGAAAACAAAAAGTCGAAAAATCAAAGATTTAAGAAATCGAGAAATCGAGAAATCCAAAAATTGAAAAATCGAAAAACCGAACAATTTGAAAATCGGAAAATTAAAAAAATGGAAAAATGAAAAATCCAAAATTTGAATAATCGAGAAATTGAAGAATCGAAAAATGTAAAAATCCCTGTGAAACTGAGTAAGCGAAAAATTGAAAATCGCGGAATTCAAATATTGAAAAATCGCAAAATCGAGAAATAGAACCAACAAAATATTTAAACATTGAAATTTCGATAAATCGGAAAAACGAAAAGTTGAAAAATCGACAAAACAAATATTCTAAAAATTATAAAATTGTAACAACAAAAAACCAAAAAATCTAGAATTTAAAAATTCGAAAAATTGAAAATACAAACACCCAAAAAAATCGAAAAATTGAAAAATCGAAAGATTGAAGAATTGGAAAACTGAAAAATTAAAAAATTAAAAAATCGAGAAATGGGGAAATTAAAAAATTGATTAATCGAGAAATCGAGAAATTCAAGAAAAAAACCGAAAAATCCCGAAACTGAAATTAAAAGTTCTAAAATTGAGAAATCGAAAATTCAATTGAAAAATCGAAAAATTAATATTCTGTAATTTTGATTTTCAGCACGGATTCATAAACCACAAGTTCAGGCCCATGTTACATTTTAACATATAAACAACACTGTAAGACGACATCATTTCCCGGACGAGAAAACAAATTTTGATTCGCGTTTTACCATCCATACGATTTTTCTAATGTACGTAGAAAATTTTACAACAATTTTAGAACAGACGGACAGACAGACAGACAGACGGAAACGGGAGACCTATTTTTCGTAGTGTAGGGGTCGTGCAACGTCGAGAAAACATGAAAGTAGCCAATCACTTACGCTCGAGAAGTAAAAATTAAGACGGGAACTTACTCCAAGCGACAGCAGTATGTTTGTAATCTGTAATCACACTTGTTTAGTATTTCCAAGGTAAGAAATAAACTTAAGTACTTTGGCATCTTTGCAAATTAGCTACAGAGCAGAGTTGGTTATTTTCGTGATATGCCATACCATCAGGGCATATTTTTAGAGTACCTTGATATTGGTCGCAGTGGATATAAAATTTGCAACCGTAGGTACTTGGTTCTGTTTTTCTGTATCCGGGACATCTGAACTGAGTTGACGCCCACGGTGGTACTAGTATAAAAATATTATCTACAAAGTATTTTATAAAAGTGTTATTACCTGTAACCGCACAATTCGCATATTTTGGACCAGTACATTTTTTCTGAAATGAATTAAACCACAATCCATCTGGACAAATTTGGACGTAAGAAATGTTAAAGTAGCACTCAACATAACTGGCGCAGTCGGTAGGATGCGGTAAAAAATCAATATCTTGCGTGCATCTGGGGTCAACAACTTGAATTTTTTAATGTCAAATTGGGTTCAAACTCAGTTGCGATTGACTTACAGCATCTAGAAGACTCTTGGTTTATGCACATTTGACTATTTTTGTCAAAATGAAAATTTTCTGGACAGTCTAAATACCATTTCTTGCTGTTATAACACAGAGTAAATTTACTACAATCAAAAGGGTGTGGATGGTAGTCAAGTTGTACATTTGCACACTCTGGGTCATTTAGCAAAATTTCGGAGACTGGAGGAGTGGGTACATATTGTGCTAGACATGTCAAAAAATTATTATAGTTATTTTTGTTTCTGATCGACTAATCTTACGTGTAGTTGTGACAGAAAAAGACGTTTCATCAATTGCTTTCGGTTCTATAAGAAAAACCAGTTAAGAAATTTTATACTGACGTACTATACCTACTGTTGCATTCTTGGTTCACGTTTTGCGGAAAATCACAGGCCTGGATTTTTTCATTAAATTTGAAGTCATCTGGACATGTGTAACTATCATAATTTATTCCGTAACGTTGACAAGATGGTGGATACCCTTGAAGAACACTAGCACTTCCTAGAATACTCGTAGCTTGAAAAATTTTTCTAATTTTGTATCACATGCAGAATTTACCATAACCCAATATGCAAAAAGCAACCAAGAAAAACTTCATCTTTTTTCCCGTTGCTGCTTACACCGTGGTTCAAAAACAAACTGAATTTGGTGAGAGAAATCAACAAATTTTCGATAAAGTGCTTGTATTATTGACAATCCAGGAAATGCAGTGATCAAATGCAAATATTGACCCATTTGGTTTACTTTTCACACGAACAGCACCCATGTTTGTAACAATATTTACCCATCTAAGGTAAAGAAAGGTCGCTCATCGAGAAAACCCTTCCGAGATAGTCTGGTTTCGATTTAGTACGACCGTCAATCTTGTTTGGAAAATGGTACCTCTACTATTGTTGTCGGCTTGTCGAGGTAACATTGTGCTCGCCAACATAGACAACACCACAACGGACGTACCGTCTGGTCAAACCTCTTTAAAAGGTACTTCAAATTCTAGTACTAAAGTACTTCACTCAAGAACTACATTTTTTATATTGTATTATTATATTAAAATAAAATTATTTTGAAACACAAGTTGATATTTTGGGCGAAACGCAACGTCCGTTGTCCCCAGCGAAGTGCAACCCCGAAGGACACGTTCTTTCGAAAGTACGACTTTGGTGACATTCTAAAAATTTGTCACAGCTTTGGGGGTGTGGTACCAGCGAACCTTGATTCCCTATGCATCTTGGGTCGTGGTCTGGCAACTTTGACGTTGATGGTACTGTAGTCGACGCTGAAATTTACAAATCAGAAAGACCATAATTATTCGAAATAGTACCAATGCAGCCCGATTCTTCCGGTGGAACGCAAGTCTTTTGGTCGGCACTAAACCACAAACCATCTCGACAACTCATCGAGTACGAATAGCCCCCGTAACATTCGACGTACTTGGTACAGTCTGTTAGGTCTGGTAGTAGATCTGGAGTACCGTCTGGGTTGCATCTAGGATCTCCGGCTAGTAACAGTTTTCAGTGTTTATATGTCACGAAACGAAAACAACCAGTAGTACCGCAGAACGATTCTGAAAAAGGTCCACATTTAGACTCTTTTTCGTTAAAGTAGAGACCAGTGGGGCAGCTAAATTCACGACCCCATCCTAATTCGCAATAGACGAATCTGTCACAAGCTATATCAGGGTAGTACTCGCCGTCGTGTCCATAGCATCTTATATCGTTATAACCTAGGGTTGATGACATCGTAGACGGAAACGTAGTAGCTACAATATATTTCACAGTTATAATTCGTCTAAAAATAAATGGTGCTCACTCCAAGGAAGAGGGGTCCTCGTCTGGTCTGAAAAGTCGTACTTCAAAATTAATTCTTCGCAAGTGGTACTCACCTGTGCACTCAGTAATGCTGGTACATAGCTGTCTTTCTTCGACAAAGTACAACTGATACAGACATTGCTTGAGCGTCTGGTTTTTCCCCTGACATTCCCAGTAGTACCTACACCCACAAGTACACTCCTTCAGCACGATTTCTCCCTCTGGAACATCGTCACAAATACCATCATCATAAGTTAGTACCAACAGTTGGCAAGTCTGCGAAACTTGGTTGTAGTACTGGTTCTCCGGGCAGTACTTCGTGGAGTGATGGTCGAAAGGAAAACGTGCGATTTCCTTTTCTGTTGCTGAAACCCCTAAACTAAAAAGTATCGTTAGCAAAATAAGTCGCATTGTCGTGGTACTGAAAAGCGTAAATTTGGTACTTGTGTAACTGTTGTGGAATGTATAAGTACCACTTTGGAGATTAGATTACAGTTTAGTTTTGCATGGAAACATTCACTTTTAAAGGAGAATAATTTGCGTGTTTGATTACAAGTCAGTACTACTTTATTATGCTACATGATTCAAATACAACTACTCTGTCACACAGGTTGAAATTTTGGGCGAAACGCAGCGTCCGTTTTCCCCATCGAAGTGTAAACCTGAAGGACAAGTTCTCTCGAAAGTACCACTGGTATAACATTCTAGAAATTTGTGGCAGCTTTTGGGGTGTGCCAACAGTAAACCTTCTTTGTCTTTGCATTTTGGGTCATAGTTTGACGGCGTCGATGCGACAGTAGTGGACGCTACAACTTACAAATTAAAAAAAAATAAAAATCAAGAAAAGTAGTACCAATGCAGTCTGCCTCTTCCTGTGGGACGCATATTTTTTTGTCCGCGCTGAACCACAAACCACTTGGACAACTCAACAAGTAGGAGTTGCCTTCGTAGCATTCTATGTACTTGGTGCAATCCGTCGGGTCTGGTAGTAGATCTAGAGTACCGTCTGGGTTGCATCTAGGGTCTCCAGCTACAAATTAAATTATATTTGGACAATTTAAATGTTTGGTACTTTACTTGTTGCTGTTGTTGTTGCTGTTGGTACTGATAGAGTGGTGAAATTTGCTGCAACAAAAATTGTATTTTTTTAGGAAAACGAAGATCGGACTTGGTACCACACGACGATTCTGAATATGGTCCGCATTTTAGTAAGTCTGCGTTAAAATAGAGACCACTGGGACAGTTCCAGACACGGCCCCATCCTATTTCACAGTGGGTGAATTTGGTACAGTCTGGGTGGGGGAAATATACGTCGTCGTATCCATAGCATCTTGGGTCATTATAGTCTGGTCTAGATACTATAGTCGTAGGAAATGTAGTAGCTGAAAACCATTTTATACACCACAATTTTTAAATATAGGTGGTACTCACTCCAAGGGAACGGTGTCCTCGTTTCGTCTAAAAACCACAACATCAAAACTTGTTTTAGTCACCAGAACTACTAGTACTCACCTCGACAATCAACCAATCCAGCACACAGCTGCCTCTCTTCCACAAAGTACAACTTAAATTCACACTCTTTAAGCGTCGCCTTCTTCCCCTGGCACTCCCAAAAGTACAAACAACCACAAGTGCACCTCTTCAGAACAATCTCCCCTTCTGGAACGTCCTCGCACACACTCCCGTCTGGAGTAGTCCAGGGTGGTACCGTCGTCGTCGCGCACCCAGAAGACACCGGCTGGACACACCGCTTCTCGCTAGGACTGAACCACAACCCGTCTTGACAGTCTATAACATACGGAGTACCATAATAGCACCACACGTACTTAGTGCAGTCAGACGGGTGCGGCAAAAAGTCGACATTGTCTGGGCTGCACTCCACATCGTCAAGAACCGGAAAATCGTCGAGGACTCGGCAAGTTTGCGAAACGTGGTCGAAGTGGTGCTTCTGGGGGCAGTACCGCAGGGTTTGAACGCCGTTGAGGCACTCCCAGTACTTCGTCGAGTCGTCGGAAAAGGGGAAACGCGCGGTTTGATCGAAGCATGTAGGCTCACTCGTGGCGCATTTAACTGAAAATGTACGTGGTAGTACCGGCTGGTTTACGGATGGTGGTTACCTGAAGCCAAAGTTAGGAAAATCAAATGGGTTGGTGGAAGCATCGTGGTGCTGTGGTACTCTTGTTGTAATTGTGGATGTTTTGAAGTACGTCGCTAGAGATTAGATTATTGAAGTACTACGTGTAGCAACTATGGTTTATGGGGTAGTCAAATCAGTGGCTCTAGTTTTCGAATTCAGTACTAGGAAAGATCTTGATTTTTTTAATAACGATTGTCTAAAGTTTCAACAATTGTGGTACCACACATGTTTTAACGTCTTTTTGTCAGTTTGATGCCTGTCAAAGTCTAAGTTGACCGTTATCATTGTTTCTACAGACAGCTATCGATAGGTTATCTAAACATGATAGAGCAAATTCCGTCCTTAGCAAGTTCTTAAAGTATCTTTTTTTTCTTTTCCAAGTACTAATCAATCCTTTTAAAATTCTTAATCCACTCGATTAATTTATTTATTATCTTCAAATACCTGTCGGACACGAGTGACAACCTAATAATTCATAAAACAATAATCTGATTTGCATGGTTTTAAGTTATAAAAGTACCACCTGCGACAGATTTAATTTAGTTTTGATGTATTGCAGATCAAGATGAAAGGTACGTTCTCAGATTGACAGAAGTGGTACTGATGATTTTATGTTTTAGCCGTTATTTTGAGTTTGCTTGCAATTGCATCAGCCGGTGCTGATGGTGAGTTTTGCGTTGTGGGAGAGTTGTTGGTGTTAAATTTAGTCTTGTAGATCCTCTATGTGCGGGTCTTCCGGCTGATCAGGTGGTACTGTTTCCGTCACCGATCTACTGCAACCATTACTACAAGTGTTTGAATGGGGTGTTTAGTGAAGAGATTTGCGAGGAAGGTTTATATTTTAGTCCATCTAGCAATCGGTGTGTGGAGGCGCAGTATGCTGAATGTAATGGGGGAAGTGGGGCGCCTGACGACACTACGAGTACTACTGTTCAAACAACTACAACTACGTCTACACCTACGCCTACTACGACGACGACTTCTACAACTACAACTACTACCCCTACCACTACTACTACCCCTACCACTACTACTACTCCTACCACTACTACCACTACTCCTACCACAACTACTACTACTCCTACCACTACAACTACTACTACTCCTACTACTACAACTACTACTACTCCTACTACTACTACTTCCAGTGGTACTACCTCAGGTAAGTAATTCCAAAAATGAAAGACTGATTTTCTCAGTACTATATTTTCAGAGGATCTGGATCCGAGATGCATAGATAGCGATATTTCGTACTGGCCACATCCCCACTTCTGTCATTTGTACATAGAGTGCTACCATGGTGGTTCCTATGAAATGAAATGCCCTGACAATACATACTTTTCAGATAATCATAAGTTATGCGTAGAAGCTGAAGAATCAGAATGTTGTGCCGAAAATGTATCACAGTGTATTTAAGTCAATATATATATAGTTTACAAGTACCCTTCTATTCTTACGATGGTACCAAAAGTACCGACTATTTTGTCGGAATACTACTTAATTAAAACACGTATTAAAAATAATAATGCGGTTTATTCGTTGAGGCTAACAAGGGGATGATGTTTGTCACTTCAGCGATAAAAACACAGTGCTCCAGGCTCCAGTACTTCCAGTCCCGTGTCCCATGTTCCCATTTCCGACCCAATACGAACTCGTCCGAGCCATGGCGGTATTTTCATCCCTGATTCCGCTAACACGGCCTTTCCTGACGAACGAGTGTCCCACTCGGTTGGAAACTGGGACAGTACCTGGAATTTCAACTACTCAGAAAACATCGCACTGATTATATGTAACATTAATTTATAATTTTCAAAACTGAGCGTTTCAGGTACTGCGCCTTGGTAGTTTAACCTGTAAATAATAATGTGAGTTTGGCCAAACCGCATTAATAAGCTTAAAGTAACTTAACTAACCATGGTTATTTAACTTTAACAACACGCGCTTCCAGTACGTTCCAGCACCCATACCCGTACAAGCCACAGGCCATATGCGCTACCGGTCCAGGCTTCCGCAAGACCAGCACATTACGTGCCCATGCAAGCTCTGGGACCTAGCTACATATTAACCGGTTATGCGCTACCGGTCCAGGCTTCCGCAAGACCAGCACATGACGTGCCCATGCAAGCTCTGGGACCTAGCTACAAAAACCGCCCCTGCGCTACCGGTCCAGGCTTCCGCAAGACCAGCACATTATGTGCCCATGCAAGCTCTGTGACCTAGCTACAAGGTACCCGGCCAGGCTTCCGTACGTCCGGTAAGACCAGTGCCCGTACCAGCGCAACATACGTTACCTACGTCGAGTAGCTAACCCAGGGTTTAATATTTTCCAAACCCGCCACTCCGACGTATTTTTTCTGACTCCGAATTGCCCCAGGGATGTCGCTAATCTCGAACCGGTCATGGTCCAGTAATTTGGTCACTCGAAATGGACCCCTCCACTTGGGCATCAGTTTCTGGCTTGATCCTGTGACTGGATTACACTGGACCTTCGTCATTACCAGGTCACCGACCTGATACAAATGACCTTTTCTTCTCCTTGCGTCAAACCGTTCTTTTCGTTTTCGCTGATCTTCGGCGATGCGGGTAATAATTTCCTCTCGGACCTTTGTAACATCAACTGGATCGGCCGCAGCATTCACAACCCTGTTGGGTCTGACGCGGAAACCCATTAACGCCTCGCTTGGTGTTACTCCCAACGCAGAATTAACGCTCCCATTCAGACCCAACTGAATATTCGCCACATTTTGATCCCATTGATCGTCATCCACTTGTGCACCCATTGTTGCCATGGATTCGAGGATTGTGCGATGGTACCTCTCCACCTGTCCATTTCCTCTAGGCATGGCCGTCGCATTTAGATGCTGGATGATCCCCTTTTCATTACAAAACTGTGTAAATGACTGACTGGTGAAAGCGGTACCTCGGTCACTGATTAGTCTGTGAGGTACTCCAAAAATCTTTACAACTTCCTGAAACACCTTGAGTAAGTAACGGCTCTGAGTACTTTTTACAGGATAAACGAGAATAAATTTGGTAAATGCATCAATTATTGTAATAACATATGTATTACCAGATTTGGTTTTAATAAAAGGGCCCAAGTGATCGGCATGTACTGTATGAAAAGGAATGGGTAATTTGGGGATAGGGTGAAGAAAACCCTGTTTCTTACCAGTCGGACTTTTAAAGAAGACGCAATCGAGGCAGTTTCTTACATATTTCTTAATAAAGCGTCGCATATCGTTAAACCAGTAAGTGCGCTTTATTAGTTCGTACGTTTTTTTCAAAACCCAGGTGACCGATATCATCATTATGAAGTCTTAATAATTGGAATTTGATTGTTTTTGGAATTACCCCACGGAGTCCCCTAGCAGTTATTTTATAGACTTTCCCACCTTTTAATGCATATTGATTAAATATCTCTGAATGTTAGGAACGGTCACCTGTTTCGAGAATGGTTCGAATATTGTGGATATTTTTATCGGACTGCTGTGCGGCGAGTAACCAGTCATCTTCCGCCATTGTTACCAAGCAAATACTCTTTTCAACCGACAAATTACGGCTGAGCGCATCAACATGTCGCATATTTTGATTCCCTTTGTGTTTTATTTCAAATTGGTACTCGCTAGTGCAATAATCCACTTACCGATGCGATTATTTAATTCATTTTTAAGGAATGCGTGTCGTACTGCAGCACAATCAGTTATGATGGTGAAGTTAATGCCCAGTAAATAATGTCTAAATTTTTTTACGGATTCAACTATAGCTAACGTTTCTAACTCAAAGGAATGGAAACGCTCCTCATTAGGACGTGTAGTGCGACTGAAGTACTCGATCACGTGTTCGTTTTTATCGACTACCTGAACGAGAATGCCTGCGATTCCCAATTGACTTGCATCCGTATATAATTTAGTTTCCAAGGAAGCATCAAAAAGTTTTAGAATAGGTTCTGCTACAAGTAATGATTTTAAGGACAGAAATGAATCGTTTTGGTCTTTATTCCATGTCCACTGAGTATCCTTTTTCAGTAATTCACTAAGAGGTTTGCTTTTGAATGCATAATTTGGAATATATTTACGAAAATAGCCTGTGAGACCTAAAAACTGACGTACCTACTTCATGAACAGTAGTTGGGGTTGGAAATTGTTCCACTGCATGGATTTTACGAGGATTAGGTTTAATTTCAGAATTAGATACAATGTGGCCAAGATATTCAATTTCTGTACTGAGAAAGAAACATTTGGAGAGACGAAGAGTTAATCCATTTTGTTTAAAAATTTCCAAAACCTCTTTGAGAACACTTAATGATTCTTGGATCGAGTGTGCGGGAATCAAGACATCATCTAAATATACCAACACCTTGGTGAATCGTAGCTGTCCCAGCGCCATATTGAGCATTCGTTGAAAAACGGCAGGCCCATTGGTCAGACCAAACGGCATGCGCAGGAACTTATAATGACCGTCTTGGGTTACAAACGCTGTTAAGGGAATAGATTCGGGGGCCATCGGGATTTGATAATATCCAGAGAGAAGGTCTAAGGAAGTGAACCACTGATAACCAGAAAGCCTGCTTATTTGATCGTCAATAAGAGGAATCGGATATTTGTCTTTGACAGTAATACGATTTAATGGTCGATAATCAATACATAACCGCCAGTCACCTGTTTTCTTTGAAACGAGGAGTGCTTGAAAAGCATATGGGGAATTTGATTCTCGAATGATGTTGTTATCGAGTATTTGGCGAATAAGTTTACGAATGATGTCTCTTTCAGGTTCTGGATACCTTCGAGGACGATATGCAATAGGTATCGTACTCGTCACGTCAATTTTCACATGGGTCGCACTTGATTTTCCTATTTCTCGTATATCATCAGTTACGCACATTGGATAGTCATTTAATAATTCTACTAATTGGTTGACGACTACTGAATCATCAACTCCGATATTGAATTGATGTGTTTCTATTTTATTTATATTGCAAACTTGGAAGAACTGTAATTTATGTCTTGATTTGATATAGGAAATGTCTGATAATTCGGTAAAATTTTGACCTATTAACACATCAACGCCCTGAACACATTTGTCTACCACCAATAATTCAAGATTCTTGCTGATACCATCGAGAATTACGTCAACATGTATTGAGTGGGTGACTTTGATGCGAATATCACCAAACGTTTTTAGGATAACATGAGGACTACGTTCGAAACTCATTAAGTCAAGTGCCTTTGCTCTGGATTCTGTGATTAATGAGACCTCACTACCCAAATCTACGTAACACTTATGAGCTATATTTTTAATGATTATGGTTTTAAAAAACTTAAAATTACCATCGGCTACGCTTATTATGTTGATATTTTTATGTTCCAAGTCGGTGAGTCAGGAACGACTTGAGGGAAAATTATCTTTATTACCCGGGCAGTACCTTTTGGTATGCCCATATCCCTTGCAAGCGAAGCAGCGAAGATTGACACGTGCGTCGTGGCCCTCATGTCTATTTTTAGACATATATGAGGCGTTCTGGCTCATTTGCGGAGTGGTTGTTTTGCTGGGGCGCGACTTTACAATGGATGTTATGGGGGTGTCATTGACACTAGACGAAGAAATCCCACTTACGGGATGTTTTCTTATCGCATCCAACGATTTGAAGTGCGTCGCCAGCACATGCGGTTCTTTAATGCCAGCCGTTTCGACCGCAAATTTAATTTGTTGGTCATCTATACCCCCCATTATCAAGTTGACCTGATCTTCACCCGACAGAGGTAATTTTAATTTATGGATCAATGATAACTTGATAAACACATACTCATAAAGTGTGTGTTTGGTACTAGGTCTGCACTGCATCATGGCCTGCAGAGCTTTATGCAGGTCTCGTTTCGGCCGAAAATTCTCTAATAACATAGCCCGCCACTCAGCCCATGTAAATAATTTTGTTGGCAAACCTCGGTACCAATTTTCCGCCGGACCACGGAGTTTACCTAACGCCAAATGAGAAGTCGTAGCGTCATTCCAATTGTAGAGGGTAGCAAATTCATCAACCGCGTTCAACCACTCACCAACGTCGTCATTCAGAGGGTTAAATTCGGCAATTACATTATTTAAAATGGACGTACTTAAACTTACTTGCTCGTTCCCGGTATGCCTGCTTAGTTTACCTGCCATCCTGTCCATACCTTGAGCAATTGCCTCGGACAGATCCGCCACTGACATTGAAACGGTGGTGGTTCCGCACTCTTCCCCAGAACGACGTCGGTCTAGCGATTGACGCCGTGCTAATGGTGATTGCTCCACTACCTGTCGCCGTCTATTTCTTGTTGACGACGGCGATCTTGGAGTACTGCGTCGTGCAACGCATCTAGCGTCCTTCTCCTGAGTCGACCGCCGCCGACGCTCGCTACGACTACGGCGTCTTCGACGTCCATCGTCATGCTCGTCCATGCTACGTTGACGTGATCGGGAGATTCGTGGCATTTTTTTTTTTTTCAACTATTCACACACTAATTAATACACTAAAACTGACACTACTAAACTGTTCGCCGTGGAAGAAATCCCACTTCTGATGTCGGAATACTACTTAATTAAAACACGTATTAAAAATAATAATGCGGTTTATTCGTTGAGGCTAACAAGGGGATGATGTTTGTGTAAGATAGGTTTGTACTTAACATGTGTTTCTCTTCATATTTTTTATATTTGGGGTGTAGAAGCATGCAGTTAAGAGTTTCATGCTAATTTGGGGCTCGTAAAAATATATATTTCCCAGAAACTGGGGAATGGCTTATGTCCTTTCACACGCCTACTAATGGCCTGCGATGCAGGGGTGCGGGTGGTCCAGCGACCTACACTTGAGCGAAACAAATCTGAGATTATCGCAGTCACAGGCAAAAACAGAAACCACATGTGTGACCCAAGAAATAGACCTGATTGGGGTTGATTGGTTGGCTGTGTTTCTTTCGAGAGGGTGTAACTAAAAAGGCCTGGATAAAGATTTCAGTTTTAAAACGGACGCGTACCGATTAAGACGAATTTAACAAGTTACGTGTTACGGTTGATTAAAAAGTGTTGAGGTGAGTGTATCACTGAGTTATCGGTCTTAGGGGTGATGTGAGTGAGATTTCACTAAGGTGTAATCTGCATTGTTAATTGTTGTAAAAGCTAATTGGATTATCTACTGTAATTTGGTGAGTCCGTTCCTTGTTGTTATTGTTGCATTTGACATGATTATTGATAAGTGGTATCGAGTCAGTTGTCAAATAATGTTAACATAATCCTGAGAGATATTGAAATAGTAAAAGTGATGAAATGAGACTTGACATGTCCAGCTAATTTGATTAGGCTGTCCGCCCTCCTGTGATACCTTTATGCCTGTTGTTGCGGGTTTATGCCTGTTGTTGCGGGCGAAGAAATACCTGTTGTTGCGGGTATGTGCCTGTTGTTGCGGGTACGGTGCGGACATCAATCCTGATGTCTGTGGTCAAAGGACTAGTATCAAAGTGGACACCTCGTGCGGTTATTCCCTTGGTGTCACTGCACCCTTTGGTATTAGACCTGGGATAGTAGCAGGAGCTGGGTGCGTCGCGCGGCCTTCCCCTTCGCCCCTTGTAGACTCCGTACTATACCCTACGACGGTATGAGAGTGAGCACTTAGTGCGGTTTTCCCTTAGTGTTCATTGTACACTCTGTACCGGGCAGTGTGGACCATGTGTGATTCCAACCATTAGGACAGAGCTCATTGATTGTGTAGGAGATGAAAAGTTTTAAACAAAAAGAACACATTTTTTTTTTCGATGTGTTGTGTTTGTGAGGGCGTTACATTATTTCTTTACCAGTTATCCACATTATCAAACGTCAGATTTTAATATAACATAAATTATAAACTCACTTTTAAGTCGTCAGTGTTGATAGCTGATTAATTACATTTACAGCCTGGTCAGGAGGGCTGGTGTCGAGGTGAATCGGTCATAACAACAATTATGCAACCTGTAAAATGTGATTGGGGATGTGAGCCATCGATTCCTAAAGTCGATGTGGCGAATTTGCTAATCGGGTATTACTTTTTAAATAGTGAGTCCGTGTTATTTTAGCTATTATCAGTCAGCAAGGTTGGTACTACTTTATCAAGAATATGACTGCTTTAATTAACAATTATTTCATCAATCAATGAGCTCTGTCCTAATGGTTGGAATCACACATGGTCCATACTGTCCGGTACCTTCATTGTACATCTACCTTAGCTTGATCTATGTTAAATCTAATCGAAGCAAATATTTGACGCATAATGACATCCATAACTATGAAACACGTAATAAATTACATCTTTACCCCAAGAAACTAAGACTACAAAAATCCAGCAACGGTATTGAATACCTCGGTCCAAAATTTTTTAATATATTACCCACACATGTACAAAATAGCACCGATGTCCACTTCAGTAAAATTGTGAAGGAATACTTATTAGGAAAGGCGTATTATTGTTTTGACGATTTTATTAAAGAAAAGTTTATGTAGCATCCCCGAAAATGTGTATGTCAAAAGAGTATGTCAATTAATTTGTCATTTCTCTTTTGTTGTTTATTCTGTGTAGTATGTATATGTATATGTGACTTATGCAAAAAACTTGTACGTTTATATGCATTAATAAATTATTATTATTATTATTATTACAGAGTGTACAATGAGCACTAAGGGAAAACCGCACGAAGTGCTCACTCTCATACCGTCGTAGGGTATAGTATGGAGTCTACAAGGGGCGAAGGGGAAGGCCGCGCGACGCACCCAGCTCCTGCTACTATCCCAGGTCTAGTACCAAAGGGTGCAGTGACACCAAGGGAATAACCGCACGAGGTGTCCACTTTGATACTAGTCCTTTGACCACAGACATCAGGATTGATGTCCGCACCGTACCCGCAACAACAGGCACATACCCGCAACAACAGGTATTTCTTCGCCCGCAACAACAGGCATAAACCCGCAACAACAGGTCTCTTCGCCCGCAACAACAGGCATAAAGGTATCACAGGAAGGCGGACAGCCTAATCAAATTAGCTCGACATGTCAAGGCTCATTTCATCACTTTTACTATTTCAATATCTCTCAAGATTATGTTAACATTATTTGACAACTGACTCGGTACCATTTATCAATAATCATGTCAAATGCAACAATAACAACAAGGAACGGACTCACCAAATTACAGTAGATAATCCAATTAGCTTTTACAACAATTAACAATGCAGATTACACCTTAGTGAAATCTCACTCACATCACCCCTAAGACCGATAACTCAGTGATACACTCACCTCAACACTTTTTGAACAACCGTAACACGGAACTGTTAAATTTTCGTCTTAATCGGTACGCGTCCGTTTTAAAACTGAAATCTTTATCCAGGCCCTTTTAGTTACACCCTCTCAACAGAAACACAGTCAACCAATCAACCCCAATCTGGTCTATTTTCTTTGGGTCACACATGTGGTTTCTGTTTTTGCCTGCGACTGCGATAATCTCAGATTTGTTTCGCTCAAGTGTAGGTCGCTGGACCACCCGCACCCCTGCATCGCAGGCCATTAGTAGGCGTGTGAAAGGACATAAGCCATTCCCCAGTTTCTGGGAAATATATATTTTTACGAGCCCCAAATTAGCATGAAACTCTTAACTGCATGCTTCTACACCCCAAATATAAAAAATATGAAGAGAAACACATGTTAAGTACAAACCTATCTTACAATTGATAAAATAATTGTTAATTAAAGCAGTCATATTCTTGATAAAGTAGTACCAACCTTGCTGACTGATAATAAGTCAAAATGACACGGACTCACTATTTAAAGAGTAATACCCGATTAGCAAATTCGCCACATCGACTTTAGGGATCGATGGCTCACATCCCCAATCACGTTTTACAGGTTGCATAATTGTTGTTATGACCGATTCACCTCGACACCAGCCCTCCTGACCAGGCTATAAATGTAATTAATCAGCTATCAACACTGACGACTTAAAAGTGAGTTTATGATTTAATTATGTTATATTAAGATCTGACGTTTGATAATGTGGATAACTGGTAAAGAAATAATGTAACGCCCTCACACACATCAAAAAAAAAAAAATGTGTTCTTTTGTTTAAAATTTTTCTCCCCTACATTTGTCACTTCAGCGATAAAAACACAGTGCTCCAGGCTCCAGTACTTCCAGTCCCGTGTCCCATGTTCCCATTTCCGACCCAATACGAACTCGTCCGAGCCATGGCGGTATTTTCATCCCTGATTCCGCTAACAATTTTTTTAATCGTGTTTAGAAAACTTTCGATTAAATAACTTCCGACTAGACCATTTGCTATCCACTCCACCTACCTCCCGTTCCCCTCAACCCCAGGGTCGCTGATGCTTTCCAACTGATGGATTCTAAATCTGCTCATATTTTATGATTTACTGTAATTCCGGGCGTGCTTAAACCGGCGGAATAATCGGGCGGAACGCGGAATTTAGCTTGTTTTGGTCCGTTCTGTGTTTTCTTTATTAGAGAGGAACGAGAAAATTGTGTTTGTTCGGGTCGAGGTAATAAATTTATGGAGGTGGCAGTGGATGTGGCTGCGGAATTCTTGTCCGATAAGTCTTAATTTTGATAATAGTGGTAATACGGGATGTGTTCGAGTTGACTTTGTAAAATGGGGCGTGATTTCGAGCTGCACCAGATGGCTGCGAGTTGTTTATTTACGTGTGACGCAATTGTTTATTTACTGCATGTTTAATAATGCAATGAGATTTATCTTGTCGGTGCCAATAATCCGGGTTGAACAGAGATTGATTTTTCAATGACAGACGAGATACATATCCGACGTTTGTTGTCTTGCTTGTCGTTTTTGTTATCTGACGTTATCTTTTCGTTTTTTTCCTGCGTAGTTTAATTTCGCAATTTTTATTTTTTTATATTTACAAATTACGTAATTATTTTTTTTGGTTTAAGCACGGTACTTCACTTGAGCTGATAAAATTGTTTTTTAATAAAGGCTATAATAGCTGTAGATATGATTCACAGATAGGTACATCAACAATTTTGTTTACTTCGTGTTAAAAATTTAGAAAATATTTATCTTTTCAAAAATGAAATTTTGACGATTTTACTAAATTTGACGCTACAATAAATTTTTGGCGGTTTTGGTCACAAAATTGGATTTACGATCATTCTTTATGAATTTTTTCGCCAGATCGAGTTAAGTCAGGTCATTTTAAGCCACTTCAGGTCAAGTCAATTCAATTTAGCTTATTTCAAGTTCGTTGTCAGGTGAGTACAAATTCGCCTAAATAGGTTATGTAAAGTCAAGCCAGATCAAATCAGGTCCAGTCAAGTCAAGCCACTTTAAGTGAGGTCAGTTCAAATCGGACCAGGCTAGGCTAAACTAGGTCAGATTGATATAGATTAGATCAGGCTAATCTAAGTTGAATCTTATCGGGTCAAGTAAATTTATTTTAAGTCATGTTATGTTAAACTAGGTGAGGTCAATTCAAATCAGGTCAAGTAAAGCCAAGTCAAGTCAATTAATTTATGTTGGATCTTGTCTAATCTGGTCAGGTGTCAGATGAGTATGCATCTGGTTAGGTTAGGCCAGGTCAGATTAAGCCAGGTGAGGTCAATTCCAGCCAACCCAGCCCAGGTTCTAAATTCAGTGAAATTTCTTTTTCCTGTTTTACTAAATGCTAAATATTTACTTTCCCTTTGTTTAGTATAGATTTTGACCTCTCTATGTAACAATAATATATCTCTAACAAACTTCCTGATATTTCTATTTAAATATTAATTTCACAGAATAAAAAAATGACATTTCGTCAAAATTTTGCTGTTGATAGTAACTATGATGTTCAAATTTTGCCATATTTTAAGGGGTTTACCAGAAAAATGGAGGATTTAAGTTGATTACTACAAAAATTTACCATCTTAGACATGTTTTAAGTTTCTTGTTGTCGAAATAAGTCTACACATACTAAGAAACAAAGCCAAAATATAGCCCCGCCCACCCACCCTGTCTCAATTGTGATGATCTTTTATTATTCGTCGTTAGCCAAGGGGGCGGAGCTTAACTGCAAAATCATTACTTTTTTGCGAGAAATTAAAAACATGTTTTTGAGTATCGTGTTGTTTAAAGAAAACTGTATATATTAAAAAAAAAGGCACAAATTAGGCCCCACCAATACACGCCCCGATCTCAACTCTCAATTGTGATGAATTTTTCATTCGTTGTCAGATCGAGAGGCGGGGCTTAATTGCAAGATCCATATTTGTCTATAAGAATTTACCATTTTAAACATGCTTTAAGGTTCTTGTTGTGAAAAGATGACTGCACATATTAAGAAAATAGGCAAAATATAAGCCCCACCCACCCGCCCCATTGCAGTTGTGATTCGTCCTGAGCCCAGAAGGCGGAACTTAACTACAAAATCTTTATTTGTCTAACATGTTTTTGAGTATCGTGTGGTTCAAAGAATACTATATATATTAATAAGAGTTTTAAGTTTTTATGACTAGAAAAATCATCACAATTGTGATGGGGTGGGTGGGCGGGGTCAATATTTTGCCTTTTTTTAATATACCTAGTATTTTTTGAACAACACGATACTCATTTTTAATTTCTTGTAAAGAAATAAGTATTTTGCATTTAAGCTCCGCCCCTTTAGTTCACAGCGAATAAAAAAATCATCCCAATTTAGACAGGGCGGGTGGGTGGGCCTATATTTTACCTTTTTGTTTTATTATGTGTCGACTTCTTTGTACAATATGAAACTTAAAACATGTTTAAAATGAGAAATTTGTATAAGGAAATATCAATTTTGTAATTACGCTCCGCCCAATAATTGCAAAATCTATATTTCCTTGCACAAACCATTTTAACCATGTTGTAAGTTTCTTGTTTGAAAAAATGGCCATGTATATTAAGAAATAAAAGTCAAATATAAGCCCCGCCCACCCGCCCTGTCTCAATTGTGATCATTTTTTTATTCGTCGTGAGTCAAGCGGACGGAGCTTAACTGCAAAATCATTTTTTCTCCACGAAAAATTAAAAACATGTTAGCGGAATCAGGGATGAAAATACCGCCATGGCTCGGACGAGTTCGTATTGGGTCGGAAATGGGAACATGGGACACGAGACTGGAAGTACTGGAGCCTGGAAGCACTGTGTTTTTATCGCTGAAGTGACAAACATCATCCCCTTGTTAGCCTCAACGAATAAACCCCATTATTATTTTTAATACGTGCTTTAATTAAGTAGTATTCCGACATCAGAAGTGGGATTTCTTCCACGGCGAACAGTTTAGTAGTGTCCGTTTTAGTGTATTAATTAGTGTGTGAATAGTTAATTGAAAAAAAAAAAAAAATGCCACGAATCTTCCGATCACGTCAACGTAGCATGGACGAGCATGACGATGGACGTCGAAGACGCCGTAGTCGTAGCGAGCGTCGGCGTCGGTCGACTCAGGAGAAGGACGCTAGATGCGTTGGACGACGCAGTACTCCAAGATCGCCGTCGTCAACAAGAAATAGACGGCGACAGGTAGAGGAGCAATCACCATTAGCACGGCGTCAATCGCTAGACGGACGTCGTTCTGGGGAAGAGTGCGGAACCACCACCGTTTCAATGTCAGTGGCGGATCTGTCCGAGGCAATTGCTCAAGGTATGGACAGGATGGCAGGTAAATTACGCAGGCATACCGGGAACGAGCAAGTAAGTTTAAGTACGTCCATTTTAAATAATGTAATTGCCGAATTTAACCCTCTGAATGACGACGTTGGTGAGTGGTTGAACGCGGTTGATGAATTTGCTACCCTCTACAATTGGAATGACGCTACGACTTCTCATTTGGCGTTAGGTAAACTCCGTGGTCCGGCGGAAAATTGGTACCGAGGTTTGCCAACAAAATTATTTACATGGGCTGAGTGGCGGGCTATGTTATTAGAGAATTTTCGGCCGAAACGAGACCTGCATAAAGCTCTGCAGGCCATGATGCAGTGCAGACCTAGTACCAAACACACACTTTATGAGTATGTGTTTATCAAGTTATCATTGATCCATAAATTAAAATTACCTCTGTCGGGTGAAGATCAGGTCAACTTGATAATGGGGGGTATAGATGACCAACAAATTAAATTTGCGGTCGAAACGGCTGGCATTAAAGAACCGCATGTGCTGGCGACGCACTTCAAATCGTTGGATGCGATAAGAAAACATCCCGTAAGTGGGTGTTAGAGTTCTTGTCGAATTGCTCTAATTGACGCCCACATTCGTCTACCCCTGGCGCCGATCTGAGAAATATGATCCATGTGTCGAAGGCCAAGTTGGCGGATATGTGCGATATATGCATAATGAGTCAGTCTTATGTTTGGTCTCTCGAATGTGAGACGCTGCCTTGTATTATTCTTATATAAAAGTATTGTTTGCTGAACTGTTTTTGATTGACTCTTTACGAAATCTAACAAGTCAGAAGTGGGATTAGAGACCCTTGTACTAGTAGTTAATTAGTGTACGATGCCAAATAACACTAAAAAGCGAAGACGCGGTAGTACTTCGAGTTCGAGCACGAGTTCGCGTTCGAGGTCTACCTCTAGTTCGAGTTCGACTTCGAGTTCGAGTTCGAGTGTAGTGTCAAAAAGAGAAGTGCAAAAATTGAAGCGTCAGGTGAAAAAGCTGAAAAGACACCGATCAACGACATCTACGCCCCGGACAGGTGACGAAAACCTAATTCCAATCTTCGATCCAACACGCCCTGAAGCAGTTGTGAAGAAATGGGTGGAAAAAGTCGACAATCTGGCCCGCCGTTACAACTGGGATGATAATGCAGTTATCCGGCTCATCCCAAGTCGTTTGCTGGGTAACGCACGTCAATGGTACGACGAAAGTGTCAAGTACGACGCAACATGGAAGAAACTGAAACTCTCTCTTATTGAACAATTTAGTAAGTCCGTTCCATTTTCGCTATTGTTAAAAGATGCTGCTAATTATGAAACAACACCAGGTCAAAACCTTGGAGATTATTGTTTCCAAAAACTATCCAAATTGAAAGCTTTGCAGTTGAAAATCCCAGATGAATTTTTGATCGATGCAGTAATTGGCGGCATTACAGACAATAATATTGCTCGTACAGTGGGGTCGGCACGTCATGCTAGTGCGAATGCTTTGTACGCGTACTTGAACACAATGGGGGACGCAACCGCCGCCGCTGTCGCGGTACCGAAATCCGATACCAGTGATTCGCGCCGGTTTCAAGATAAACAGAAGGTCAGGATTGAAAATCTTAAACCGAGCACGTCATCCGAATTATCCAAAACGATTACGTGTTTTAATTGTGGCGGTCCACATCGAGTGCGAGATTGTACCAAGACGATTTTGAAGTGCCACTCATGCAATAAGTTTGGCCACTTAAAACCAAACTGTCCGAATGAAACGTCCAAAAAATAGTAAAGAAGTTCGACAGTTTCTGGGGCTGTCGGGATACTTCCGCAAGTTAATCCAAAACTACGCACGATTAGTAGAACCTCTTACACGATTGACGAAGAAAGATGCTGTATGGTCATGGCCAGATGAACAAGATGGTTGATCTGATACATTTATTTGGTGCTCCGTAACGTGTGATTACTGATAGGGGAACTGCCTTCACTGCCGCCAGTTTTGAAAAGTTTTGCCAAATATACGGTATCGCTCACGTTTTAAACGCTGTAGCCACGCCGCGAGCGAACGGTCAGTGCGAGCGGTATAATCGAACGGTTTTGAGTGCTATCGCTACTAGTGCTGCTGGGCTCCCCGAAGACAAATGGGACACCGTTGTGAAACAAGTGCAAAGCGCCATGAACTGTACTGTCAACAAGGCTACAGGTGTTAGCCCTCTTGAAGTGTTGGCAGGTTATCATCCGAGAAACCCAGCGAATGCAAGATTAAGTATTGCTGTCAGTGATGCGCAGAATCTCCATCGCTTGGACTTGCAAGCTCTGAGAAATACGATAAGCAGTAGAATTACTGAAGACCAGCGGAAACAAAAGGCTCGATTTGACCGCAGCAGGACCATTGCCAAGCAGTATACAGAAGGAGACCTCGTTTTGGTCCTCATAACTGGGCAGAACAATGATGGGAACAGCAAGAAACTTCTCCCAAAATTCAAGGGGCCTTTCCGAATTGTAAAGGCATTGGCTAATGTCACTGTGGTAGCAGAGGACAAAATCAAACCCTGGATCTCACTGAAGGGTGAGTTGAAATTCAGTGGTTGAAAAGAAGTCTATCAGTGAAGGGGGTGTTATCAAGTGTCAGGCTCAATTATTTATTGAGGTAATCTGAGATGGGCATTATGTTTAAACGCCGGGTTCACGGACTATTGACAGAAAGCTAAATGAAGGGGGTAATGATAACATGTTGGGCTCAAATACCTAAGAGAGGTATATTGAGATGGGCATGATGCAGTACCGGGTTTATGGCTTGAAGATACAGTAATGTGAAACATGAAGGGGACGTGGCTAATTGTCAGGCTCAACTGTCCAAGGGATGGATTGAGATGGACAAGGCTAAACGTCGGGTTCATAACTACAAGTTGTGAAACATGAAGGGGACGTGGCTAATTGTCAGGCTCAACTGTCCAAGGGATGGATTGAGATGGACAAGGCTAAACGTCGGGTTCATAACCACAAGTTGTGGAACATGAAGGGGACGTGGCTGATTGTCAGGCTCAACTGTCCGAGGGATGGATTGAGATGGACAAGGCTAAACGTCGGGTTCATAACCACAAGTAAGGCAAGTGTTTTCAGTAAGTAGTTGGTCGTTTGTTTCAGATCCTCATAATTGTTAATGATGGTCTGAGGACAGACCATTACTGCAGCATGGCCGACTGTTAGAGTTCTTGTCGAATTGCTCTAATTGACGCCCACATTCGTCTACCCCTGGCGCCGATCTGAGAAATATGATCCATGTGTCGAAGGCCAAGTTGGCGGATATGTGCGATATATGCATAATGAGTCAGTCTTATGTTTGGTCTCTCGAATGTGAGACGCTGCCTTGTATTATTCTTATATAAAAGTATTGTTTGCTGAACTGTTTTTGATTGACTCTTTACGAAATCTAACATGGGATTTCTTCGTCTAGTGTCAATGACACCCCCATAACATCCATTGTAAAGTCGCGCCCCAGCAAAACAACCACTCCGCAAATGAGCCAGAACGCCTCATATATGTCTAAAAATAGACATGAGGGCCACGACGCACGTGTCAATCTTCGCTGCTTCGCTTGCAAGGGATATGGGCATACCAAAAGGTACTGCCCGGGTAATAAAGATAATTTTCCCTCAAGTCGTTCCTGACTCACCGACTTGGAACATAAAAATATCAACATAATAAGCGTAGCCGATGGTAATTTTAAGTTTTTTAAAACCATAATCATTAAAAATATAGCTCATAAGTGTTACGTAGATTTGGGTAGTGAGGTCTCATTAATCACAGAATCCAGAGCAAAGGCACTTGACTTAATGAGTTTCGAACGTAGTCCTCATGTTATCCTAAAAACGTTTGGTGATATTCGCATCAAAGTCACCCACTCAATACATGTTGACGTAATTCTCGATGGTATCAGCAAGAATCTTGAATTATTGGTGGTAGACAAATGTGTTCAGGGCGTTGATGTGTTAATAGGTCAAAATTTTACCGAATTATCAGACATTTCCTATATCAAATCAAGACATAAATTACAGTTCTTCCAAGTTTGCAATATAAATAAAATAGAAACACATCAATTCAATATCGGAGTTGATGATTCAGTAGTCGTCAACCAATTAGTAGAATTATTAAATGACTATCCAATGTGCGTAACTGATGATATACGAGAAATAGGAAAATCAAGTGCGACCCATGTGAAAATTGACGTGACGAGTACGATACCTATTGCATATCGTCCTCGAAGGTATCCAGAACCTGAAAGAGACATCATTCGTAAACTTATTCGCCAAATACTCGATAACAACATCATTCGAGAATCAAATTCCCCATATGCTTTTCAAGCACTCCTCGTTTCAAAGAAAACAGGTGACTGGCGGTTATGTATTGATTATCGACCATTAAATCGTATTACTGTCAAAGACAAATATCCGATTCCTCTTATTGACGATCAAATAAGCAGGCTTTCTGGTTATCAGTGGTTCACTTCCTTAGACCTTCTCTCTGGATATTATCAAATCCCGATGGCCCCCGAATCTATTCCCTTAACAGCGTTTGTAACCCAAGACGGTCATTATAAGTTCCTGCGCATGCCGTTTGGTCTGACCAATGGGCCTGCCGTTTTTCAACGAATGCTCAATATGGCGCTGGGACAGCTACGATTCACCAAGGTGTTGGTATATTTAGATGATGTCTTGATTCCCGCACACTCGATCCAAGAATCATTAAGTGTTCTCAAAGAGGTTTTGGAAATTTTTAAACAAAATGGATTAACTCTTCGTCTCTCCAAATGTTTCTTTCTCAGTACAGAAATTGAATATCTTGGCCACATTGTATCTAATTCTGAAATTAAACCTAATCCTCGTAAAATCCATGCAGTGGAACAATTTCCAACCCCAACTACTGTTCATGAAGTAGGTACGTCAGTTTTTAGGTCTCACAGGCTATTTTCGTAAATATATTCCAAATTATGCATTCAAAAGCAAACCTCTTAGTGAATTACTGAAAAAGGATACTCAGTGGACATGGAATAAAGACCAAAACGATTCATTTCTGTCCTTAAAATCATTACTTGTAGCAGAACCTATTCTAAAACTTTTTGATGCTTCCTTGGAAACTAAATTATATACGGATGCAAGTCAATTGGGAATCGCAGGCATTCTCGTTCAGGTAGTCGATAAAAACGAACACGTGATCGAGTACTTCAGTCGCACTACACGTCCTAATGAGGAGCGTTTCCATTCCTTTGAGTTAGAAACGTTAGCTATAGTTGAATCCGTAAAAAAATTTAGACATTATTTACTGGGCATTAACTTCACCATCATAACTGATTGTGCTGCAGTACGACACGCATTCCTTAAAAATGAATTAAATAATCGCATCAGTAAGTGGATTATTGCACTAAGCGAGTACCAATTGGAAATAAAACACAAAGGGAATCAAAATATGCGACATGTTGATGCACTCAGCCGTAATTTGGCGGTTGAAAAGAGTATTTGCTTGGTAACAATGGCGGAAGATGACTGGTTACTCGCCGCACAGCAGTCCGATAAAAATATCCACAATATTCGAACCATTCTCGAAACAGGTGACCGTTCCGAACATTCAGAGATATTTAATGAATATGCATTAAAAGGTGGGAAAGTCTATAAAATAACTGCTAGGGGACTCCGTGGGGTAATTCCAAAAACAATCAAATTCCAATTATTAAGACTTCATCATGATGATATCGGTCACCTGGGTTTTGAAAAAAACGTACGAACTAATAAAGCGCACTTACTGGTTTAACGATATGCGACGATTTATTAAGAAATATGTAAGAAACTGCCTCGATTGCGTCTTCTTTAAAAGTCCGACTGGTAAGAAACAGGGTTTTCTTCACCCTATCCCCAAATTACCCGTTCCTTTTCCTACAGTACATGCCGATCACTTGGGCCCTTTTATTAAAACCAAATCTGGTAATACATATGTTATTACAATAATTGATGCATTTACCAAATTTATTCTCGTTTATCCTGTAAAAAGTACTCAGAGCCGTTACTTACTCAAGGTGTTTCAGGAAGTTCTAAAGATTTTTGGAGTACCTCACAGACTAATCAGTGACCGAGGTACCGCTTTCACCAGTCAGTCATTTACACAGTTTTGTAATGAAAAGGGGATCATCCAGCATCTAAATGCGACGGCCATGCCTAGAGGAAATGGACAGGTGGAGAGGTACCATCGCACAATCCTCGAATCCATGGCAACAATGGGTGCACAAGTGGATGACGATCAATGGGATCAAAATGTGGCGAATATTCAGTTGGGTCTGAATGGGAGCGTTAATTCTGCGTTGGGAGTAACACCAAGCGAGGCGTTAATGGGTTTCCGCGTCAGACCCAACAGGGTTGTGAATGCTGCGGCCGATCCAGTTGATGTTACAAAGGTCCGAGAGGAAATTATTACCCGCATCGCCGAAGATCAGCGAAAACGAAAAGAACGGTTTGACGCAAGGAGAAGAAAAGGTCATTTGTATCAGGTCGGTGACCTGGTAATGACGAAGGTCCAGTGTAATCCAGTCACAGGATCAAGCCAGAAACTGATGCCCAAGTGGAGGGGTCCATTTCGAGTGACCAAATTACTGGACCATGACCGGTTCGAGATTAGCGACATCCCTGGGGCAATTCGGAGTCAGAAAAAATACGTCGGAGTGGCGGGTTTGGAAAATATTAAACCCTGGGTTAGCTACTCGACGTAGGTAACGTATGTTGCGCTGGTACGGGCACTGGTCTTACCGGACGTACGGAAGCCTGGCCGGGTACCTTGTAGCTAGGTCACAGAGCTTGCATGGGCACATAATGTGCTGGTCTTGCGGAAGCTTGGACCGGTAGCGCAGGGGCGGTTTTTGTAGCTAGGTCCCAGAGCTTGCATGGGCACGTCATGTGCTGGTCTTGCGGAAGCCTGGACCGGTAGCGCATAACCGGTTAATATGTAGCTAGGTCCCAGAGCTTGCATGGGCACGTAATGTGCTGGTCTTGCGGAAGCCTGGACCGGTAGCGCATATGGCCTGTGGCTTGTACGGGTATAGGTGCTTGAACGTACTGGAAGCGCGTGTTGTTAAGGTTAAATAACCATGGTTAGTTAAGTTACTTTAAGCTTATTAATGCGGTTTGGCCAAACTCACATTATTATTTACAGGTTAAACTACCAAGGCGCAGTACCTGAAACGCTCAGTTTTGAAAATTATAAATTAATATTACATATAATCAGTGCGATGTTTTCTGAGTAGATGAAATTCCAGGTACTCTCCCAGTTTCCAACCGAGTGGGACACTCGTTCGTCAGGAAAGGCCGTGTTAGCGGAATCAGGGATGAAAATACCGCCATGGCTCGGACGAGTTCGTATTGGGTCGGAAATGGGAACATGGGACACGGGACTGGAAGTACTGGAGCCTGGAAGCACTGTGTTTTTATCGCTGAAGTGACAAACATCATCCCCTTGTTAGCCTCAACGAATAAACCCCATTATTATTTTTAATACGTGTTTTAATTAAGTAGTATTCCGACAAACATATTTTTGAGTATCGTGTTGTTTAAAGAATACTATGTATATCAAGAAAAAAAGCAAAATATAAGCCCCGCCCACCCGCTCCAACTCAATTGTAATGATTTTTTTTAATCGTCGAGAGCCAAAGGAGCGGAATTTAAATATAAAATTCATATTATTATTATTTCTTTTCAAGAAATTACCATGTAAAACATGTTTTTGAATATCGTGTTATACAAAAATCACTATGTATATTAAGAAAAAATTAGAGCCAAAGATTAAGCCTTACCCATACCTGCCCTGATCTAAGTAGTAATGAAAATTTAATTTGTTAGCAGACCTAGAGGAGGAGCCTAATTGCAAAATCCATATTTCTTGACAAAAATTTACCATTTTAAACGTGTTTTAAGTTTCTAAGAATAAAAAAATCATCACAATTGAGACAGGGTGGGTGGGCGGGGTTTATACTTAATATACATAATATTCTTTCAACAACACGATACTTAAAAACATGTTTTTAATTTCTTGTAAATAAATAATATTTTGCAGTTAAGCTCCGCCCCCTTGGTTCACAGCGAATAAAAAATTTATCACAATTGAGAGAGGGCGGGTGGGCGAGAGTATATTTAGCCGTTTTGATTTAATATGTGTAGACTTTTTTTCAAAACATGAAACTTAAAACATGTTTAAAATGGAAATTTGTGTAAGGAAATATCGATTTTGCAATTAGGCTCCATCCCATAACTACAAAATCCACATTTCCTTGCAAAAATGTTTTAAGTTTTTTATTGTGAAAACATGGCTATGTATATTAAAAAAAAATATAGCAAAATATAAGCCCCGCCCACCCACCCTATCTCAATTGTGAGGATTTTTTTATTATCTGTCTCGATCTAAATCGTGATGAATTTTTCATTCGTTTTCAGACCGAGGAGCAGAGCCTAATTGCAAAATTGATATTTCCCTATACAAACTTACCATTTGAAACATGTTTTAAGTTTCTTGTTGTGAAAACATGACTACACATATTAAGACAAAAAGGGAAAATTTAAGCCCCGCCCACCCGCCCTTTCTCAATTGTGATGATTTTTTTTATTCATCCTGAGCCAAGAAGGCGGAGTTTAACTGCAAACTCTTTATTTGTCTACGAAAACTTAAAAACGTGTTTTTGAGTTTCGTGTTGTAAGGAAATACATATTTTGCAGTTAAGTTCCGCCCACTTGGTTCACGGCGAATAAAAATATTCATCACAATTGCGATAGGCGGGTGGGCGGGGTATTCATATTTCCTTGCAACCATTTTAAGCATGTTTTAAGTTTATTGTTGTAAAAAGAGGGCTATGTATATTAAAAAAAAAAAAAAAAATAGCCCCGCCCACCCTCCCTATCTTAAATGTGATAATTTTTTTATTCGTCCTGTTCGAAGAAGGCGGAGCTTAAATGCAAAATCTTTATTTCTTTACGAGAAATTAAAAACATCTTTTTGAGTATCGTGCGATTCAAAGAATACTATATATATTAAGACGAGTTTTATGTTTCTAAGATTATAAAAATCATTACAATTGAGATGGGGTGGGTGGGCGGGGTTTATATTTTGTTATTTTTTCTTATTATAGATAATATTCTTTGAACAACACGATATTTAAACACATGTTTTTAATTTCCTATAAAGAAATAAGTATTTGCAGATAAGCTCCACCCTCTTGGTTCACAGCGAATAAAAAAAATCATCACAATTGAGATAGGGTGGGTGGGCGGGGCTTACAATTTGCCGTTTTGTTTTAAAATGTGTAGACTTCTTTTCACAACATGAAACTTGAAACATGTTTAAAATGGAAATTTGTAAAATTGCAAAATCCTTATTTCTTGCAAATACCATTTTAACCATGTTTTAAGTTTTTTGTTATGAAAAGATGGCTGTTTATATTAAGAAAAAAAAGTTTAAATATAAGCCCCACCCACCCGCCCTGTCTCAATTGTGATGATTTTTTTATTCGTTGTCAAACCAAGGGGCGGAGCCTAATTGCAAAATCGATACTTTTCTACAAAAATGTACCATTTTAAACATGGTTTCCATACATTCTAGCAACCCCCTGTAAATGGTGAGGGACAAGTCTCCAAATGAATTAGACTTGTTTACTCCATTCAGAATTTCAAGGCTTCCACGAGATTTAATATTTTCGGTGCAAAAAATAAAACCAACAATAATATAACAGTAGCCCTGTAAATAATTCTGTTTGGGCAAACACCGAAGAAACACAGCTTGTTATCAAATACCGATAAATTTGGCAGCCAGCGCACGTTTCCCACACATCGCTAAACCAAACATTGACTCAATTTTTAATGAATTAATCAATTAAAAACAAATATCAAAGTCAAACAGCCATGAAACTCCGGCATTTCGCAACCACCACTCCATCAAACTATTTATTGTCACTTATCGTCCCCGGCACCATCTCGAATTAATCAGAAGCCAAGATTTGTTTACAGCCTCTTCGATTCCAGCGCCCATAAATCCCACAATTGCCCACAAACCCCTTTACAAGCACCGCATTAATATCGGATTAGCCGAACCGTAATTTTTCCTCTAAAACTTTGATCGCGAATCTAGACATTCCAGATTTAATTAAGTTTTATGGGGATAATGAAAGGCGGATTACTGCGACATAAAGTCAACTGATTTCACAATAGCAACTTTATTTGATTAAATTTTCTAACAGGTGGAACTATGGTTGCAACACTCGGATTGGTTGGCGTTGACACATTCTTTTTTAATATCTGACCAGTAGAGACCTGTTGGACACTCCATCTCGTAGGAGAAGCCGTTCATGCACTCTATGTACCTATTGCAATACGCAGGGTGCGGGAAGTACGCGGTATTCCCATCCACACATCTGGGATCAGGGCCAGGAGCTGAAACACAAAACTAGAAAAACGAACCGAGGAAAAATTCAACGAAATACATGGTCTACGGGTCGTGGAACCATCTGAAATGAAACACAATTAGACGTGGTCATATCGAATTAGTACTAGTACCAATGCAGTACGATCCGGGATAATCGCAGTCGCTGATTTCTGGGTGCCACCACAAACCCTCGGAGCACTCAAACAGAGTACCGACTTCGTTGAAGCACTGAATGTACTTGGAACAGTCGCCCGCCACCGGGAGGAAGATGGTCTGCGTTGGATCAAGACCATGGCAGGCATCTAAAGACACAATTCTACAATGGGTTCAGTTTCAACTCGGTACTTACCTGATGGATCCGTTTGCGCAGAACCACCTGCAACTGCAAAAACGTTATCAATTGGAAATTTTTAAGTACCACACTTACTTAAAGCGGCACAGATTGTGATCAAACCAATGAATTTATTCATTTTGACGGCTGGGTACTGACTGCCAAAAACTGCACTGAGAGGCTTTATATAGACAAAAAAATCATAATCTTAATCCCATCTACTACAAAGATTCATTCAGATTGTGATTGCATAAAAATGATAAAGAAGCTGAGATTGTATCGGGTGTTCAGAAGTACGACTTTCATCATTGTTATGGGTTTCTCCAATGTTATTTTTAAATGTATTGCTAAAGTCGAACAAATACTTTAGATTGTCGGCTTGCCTTGTTAATTGCTCTAAATGCATTATTTCCAAGGTCCAAACACTTTAAATTGCGACCTTACAAGGTGGTACCTGTGTGTCGGTTTTAGTTTATCAATGATAAGAAAGTTTAGAGTATAAAGGAATACAGAACCATGGGTACTACGTCATGAAGTATCCGTTATTTCGCAGGAACTATCTTCGCAGCATTCTACGTATAGATGGTACACGTTTGGTACTTACGTTGTTCGTACTGTAGAAGTATTTGTGTCACAATAAACTTAAACTTAAAGATCTGCCACCAAATTAGGATGGGACCTGCTGAACCAACATAATATATAAAATTTGGATTCGGGTACCGGTGTTCTGGTGTACTACGGTACCAATGCTACTGGTGTTTCCGAAAAATTCCTTATTACCAGGTGGCTGAATCCGCCCCTGTCTTTGAAGCAATTTGAAAGATTCTCGGGGAACCCTTGTGTCTGGTTTTTGAAGTACTTTGAAAGAAACTTGAGGACCCGTTTTGTTTTATTTTTGAAGTAGTTTGAAAAAAATCTTGAGAATTCCTTGTCTTACTTTCGCAGTAATTTGAAAAAATCTCGGGGACCTCTTGTATCTGGTTTTTGAAGTAATTTGAAAGAATCTCGGGTATTTTTCTGTGTACTGTTCTTGAAGAAATTTGAAAGATTCTCGGGAACCCTTGTATTTGGTTGTTGAAGTAGTTTCAAATAATTTCGGGGATTCCTTGTATCTAGTTTTTGAAGTAGCTTGAATCAATTTCGCGGACCGCTTATATCTGGTTTTTGAAGTAGTTTGAAAGAAACTTGAGGACCCCTTTTGTTTTGTTTTTGAAGTAGTTTGAAAAAAATTGAAAATCCCTTGTCTTGTTTTTGGAGTAGCTTGAAACAATCTCGGGGATCCATTTTGTTTTATTTTTGAAGTAGTTTGAAAAAATTGAAATTTCCTTATCCTACTTTTGGAGTAATTTCTCGGAAACCTGTTTTTTGCAGTATATTAAAAAAATCCCGGGGACCTCGTGTGATTGGTTTTTGAAGTAATTTGAAAGAATTTCGGGGACTCCTTGTGTCAGGTTTTTGAAGTAGTTTGAAAAAATCTTGAGAATCTCTTATCTTGCTTGTGCAGTAATTTTAAAGAATCTCGGGGACATTTTTGCTTTGGTTTTGAAGTAGTTTGAAAGAATCTCGTGGATCCCTTTTATTTTTTGAGAATCTCTTGTCTTGTTTTTGTACTAAATTGAAAAATTCCCGAGGACCTCGTGTGATGGGTTTTTGAAGCAATTTGAAAGAATCTTGGGGACTCCTTGTGTCTAGTTTTCGAAGTAGTTTGAAAAAATCTTGAGAATCTCCTATCTTGCTTTTGCAGTAATTTTAAAGAATCTCGGGGACCTCTTTTGTTTTGGTTTTGAAGTGGTTTGAAAGAACCTCGTGGATCCCTTTTATTTTTTTAGAATCCCCTGTCTTGTTTTTGCAGTAAATTGAAAAATTCCCGGGGACCTCGTGTGATTAGTTTTTGAAGTATTTTGAAAGAACATTGGGGATCCCTTGTGTCTGGTTTTTGAAGTAATTTGAAAGAATCTCGGAGACCCCTTGTGTCAGGTTTTTGAAGTAGTTTGAAAGAGTCTCGGGAACCCCCTGTGTCAGGTTTTTGAAGTAGTTTGAAACAATTTCAGACCTTTTTTATTTTGTTTTTGAAGTAGTTTAAAAAAACCTCCAGAATCTCTTGTCTTGCTTTTGCAGTAATTTGAAAAAATTTCGGAGACCTCTTTTGTCTTTGTTTTGAAGTAGTTTGAAAGAATCTCGAGGACCCCCTTTATTTTTTGGGAATCACTTGTCTTGTTTTTGCAGTAAATTGAAAAATTCCCGGGGACCTTGTGTGACTGGTTTTTGAAGTAATTTGAAAGAATCTCATGGATTCCTTGGGTTTTGTTTTTGAAGTAGTTTAAAAGGATCTCTTAAACCCTTTTGGACCTTGTTTTTGAAGTAATTTGAAATAATGTCGTCGATTTCTCGCGTCTAGTTTTTGAAGTAGTTTGAAAGAGTTTCAGACACCCCTTTTATTTTGTTTTTGAAGTAGTCTGAAAAAAACTTGAGAATCTTTGTCTTGCCTTTACAGTAATTTGAAAGAATCCCGGGGACTTCTTTTGTCTTGGTTTTTGAAGTAGTTTGAAAGAATCTCGAGGATCCCTTTTATTTTTTGAGAATCACTTGTCTTGTTTTTGCAGTAAATTGAAAAATTTCCTGGGACCTCGTGTGATTGGTATTTGAAGTAATTTGAAAGAACATTGGGGACCCCTTGTGCCTGGTTTTTGAAGTAATTTGAAAGAATTTCGGGGACCCTTTGTGTCTAGTTTTTGAAGTAGTTTTAAAAACTTTCAGAGACCCCTTTTATTTTGTTTTTGAAGTAGTTTGAAAAAATCTTGAAGATCCCTTGTCTTGCTTTTGCAGTGATTTGAAAAAATCTCGGGGATCGCTTTTGTCTGGTTTTTGAAGTAGTTTGAAAGAATTTTTGAAGTAATTTGAAAGAATTTCGAACTGGATGCGTACCAGTTTCAGTACTATGAAGGTGTTTGTGTGAATTTGAAAATATTCTGATATGAATAGTACTACTACAATCAGCAAGTACTTTATTGATGCAGATGCAAGAATAACAGAAAATGACACTAATTTTATTCATTATTAATCAGTAAATTTAAATGTTCTTTGCGTCTAAAATCCTTAGGTGGTACTACCACATTAATCTCCTGAAGAAAACACAGTTCTATAATATCAGATTCAATAAGAGTACTACTTAGTTTTCATATTTAACGCCGCCAGCACAATCTGTGTACTGTAAATGATAATTGAATGATTATAATCTAGTACTAAAAGATATATAATTTGACCAAGTACCGGAAACGGATAATCTAACCTGGTAACACCTACAAAAATAAATTTGTGTAAACAGAGCAAAATAAAACCATTACGTACTTAAAAGTAGTACCGTAGACAGTCTTCTCCTTTTCGCAAAAGATGTAGAATAAGTACCAAAACAAAGCAAAATCAGTGTACCTTTGGTTGAAGATAAAGGTGTCAAACAGACTTTATATAATCCTGCTTAAAGCCGACACTCAAAATTTTTTATCGCGGGACGTGAGATAGTACCTTGATCCATTCAGTGATTGCAAAATTTTCCACCAATGGATTAAATTTGACATATTAAGTCTGAGTGCGGTATTAACATAGCAGAAGTACACTGACCCCGAATTCATTTTAGTAGTACCCTACTATGGTGTCTGGATCTAGTGGAAATGTTATTCATTCTCTCTAAAGTTCTGCATTCTGATGGTTGGATACTAAATATGAAAGTCCATGAAAGGGTTTTGTAGACCAAAAAATGATTTATGTACATGTAGTACCCTCTGTAAAGAGGGGTCCAGAAGGTGTTCCCTGGGTTCCACACGACATTAAAACAAAAACCCACATTAACACTAAGTATATTATATAGTATTACATCAATAGTAGACACTTATGTATAAAAATATAGAAGAGGTCCCATAGTTGTTTCTTGAGTGGAATTACTAGCACTTGGTACTGCTGGTGCAACATTCTGATTCGTCGGAGTTAACGCACCTTTTGTGCTCCTCCGAGAAGTACAGTCCTTGTGGACAAACCATTTCGTAGGAGTCGCCTTGGTAGCATTCCACATACATGTGACAGTGAACGGGGTGTGACCAGTAGTTCATCGATTCGTTTATACATCTGGGGTCGGATCCATGTCCGGGTTTGACTAAAAGAAAATTTTCATCTAAGGGAACACAAATTGGGGTGAGGATTTACGAGTGGTGGTTAGTACCGTAGAGGTGTGCTCCGTCGTGGTGTGGGGTACAGGGGTACCTAGAATGTTGATGTAGCAGAACGTAACTACAAAGATAGTAAGTACTTACTAGTTGTTGTCGAGGTGGACGGTTTAGGTGTTGCTGAAAATACATTGTCTGGTAGTACTGAAACTACAAGTTGGCGAGTACTTACTTGTTATGGTAGTTTCACACATTACTGCAAGCAACATAATTAGTGTCCAAACAAAAAACACGTATGGTTGTAAAATACACACTACTTACTTGGTTCAGTTGTCGTAGGGGTTGCTGCAAGAGAAATTATAAGTGTTTGGTAGTACCGCAACGTACTTTATATAATCGACTTACTCCTTTCGGGTGTCGTCGTTGTTGCTAAAATTCAATCAGTTAGTACGTGCTACAACAGGTACTACATCAAAGGTACTTACTTCTCGGCGCCTCTGTAGGTGTAGGTGCTAGAATTATGTAAAATTAGTGACGATATAAAATATTTAAGTAGTACTAACTTGGTTCTGGGTTGGTGGGTGAATGTACTAAAAAGAAACTATTAGTAAAATTGGGTTTTAAATCGCGACGGTACTACCGCAGTAATCTCCTGGATAGTCACAGGTTTCGGCTGCTGGGTGCCACCATAACCCATCAGTGCATTGGTATTCGTACTTAAAACCGTCAACACACTCTATAAACTTAGAACAGTCCCCTGGTACTGGAAGATATATAATGCCCTCAGGTGCCGGAAACGGACAATCTGGATCTGGGGTCCAACGAACGTCTACAGAAACAGAATAGTCGGAACGAACCTGAAATATAAATAGTACTTACCGGATCCCTCCGTGGGTAGAGAATTGCCGCGTGCAGCTAAACAAACCATGAAGTATATTTTGCTAGTACTAGTGGTACCATAACACTTACCAATAACAAAAATACATGAAAATAGTACCGTGAACATGGTTTTAGTTTCGTAAGACTTAGTTAACAATTATCGCAATAAAGGAAGTGTAAAACTATTTATATAGAAAATCGATGTTTTATTAATCCATCTTGGCATAATCCTGGTCGGAATTAATTGTGAGAAGATTATCAAGCAGTACCGTGACAGATACGTCAATATTCTCCTAGTACGGATTAATCTTAAATCCACAGCATTAATTTTGATTGTGGTATCAAGGTTAAAGTTGTCGTTGCGTTTGGAGAGTTTTATTTTTTTCATCGTCGTAACTTATGTAGTACTCACCACATAGGTGAATTTTCGTGTTATGACGCAACTGATTGATAAGACAGAATAAGGTGATGCGTTATTTCTCTCAACAAGTCAAGGGTTTTATCTGAAGTTGAGAAATTTTTTGCTGAGTGAAGCTGTAGTACCCAGGACAAGGTTTAGTAAATAAATAAATAAAATTAATAATAACATCTTTATTTTCATTTAGTTTTTCTGAATATTGCTTTAAAGCTTCTAGTAGCATAGGTGCTGCCAGTACTACTTTAAACCTCGTTCCGGTACGACTAAATAAAACTTTGAAACGGTACTGTTTCGACAATACTGTTTTGACTGTTTGTTCGAACGCACCCATACATTTCACGTGAATTTCTGACGCCACAAACAAGACACTTAAGTACTCTTAAATTGATACTAAAAGACATCTTCGCAGTTCTCGAAATAGATCTGTTGACACAAAAAACCGATAAGACCATTGGCTAATATAAAAACAATCCAATTTTGTGAGGTAGTACTTGCGTGTCACAATGAAGGACTTTATCATTTCCACAACCATTGTAAGATTGGTCGTACTCTTTTCCTTTGTTTGTTGTGAGTACTGAAATACGAAACTATTAATAGTTCATACAAAGTTTTTAGATGCTCAATGGACTCCCGATCCGTTTTGTCCGTACCCATACCCTGACCACGCGACCAAGTACCGGTACTATGGTAACTGCTCCGTCTACTGGGAGTGCTACTATGGGGCCAAGTACATAATGGAGTGTCCTGAAGGACTCGAATTCAACGAACCTTTACAACAATGTGACACTCCGTCCATTGCAAACTGCGATCCTTGTAGGTGGTACCGTCGATGAATTTTTTGATTTGTAAGACTTGTTTTAGGGGCTTCCACCACTGGTAATCCGGACCATACAGGATCAACAGACAGTACGTTTTGGGGGTGGTACTTGATTAAAACTAATCGAATGTGTTCTTAGGTACTTATTCTGCAAGTAGTACAAGAGGTCCTTATCCGCAGTGTCCTTGTGTACTTCCCGTACCTAGGTGACTGCACTAAGTACTGGGAGTGTTTCGCCGGGAATGGGTACTTGTACAATTGTCCAGATGGGTTGTGGTGGCACCAGGAAATCAGCGAGTGTGACTATCCAGGGTCGTACTGTGACAATTCCACAACGATAGACTAGTCAACGCCCACAACCCCAACAACCGAGGGACTCACTACTTGTCCCCCAAATTTGTACTTTTCGGATAGGGTAAAGGACTGTGTCAGGGTAGATGAGTCAGAGTGCTGCCTGGAGTACGACTGTCCTCCAGGAAAATAAACGTTCGCTTGTAATAACAATTTTTAAATAAAAAATTAGTACCAAAGTCGTACTTTACATTTAGTAATAGTTGGATAACTTCTCCACGTGTAGGTTATTTCAAAGTCAAGTTAGTTAAATCTCTCTAGAATTATCTTGACTTACTTTTGCGCCCAGATTAGGATTATCACCGCGTCATTTTTATAAAAATAGTTTTTCTAATACAAAGCCACATTCCACGGTACTACCATGTTCAAATACGTGATTTTTAGTGTTCTGGCTTATCTGGCTTGTAAGTACTTTAATTGGCGAAAATTTTAACTTAGTACGACTTTGTAGACTCGGAATGGACCCCCGATCCCTTGTGCCCTTACCCATCCGAGGTAGTCACCAATTTCCCCTACTATGGTGACTGTTCGTACTACTGGGCGTGCTTCGAAGGCTCCAAATTCTTAGTGCAGTGTCCCATTGGGCAAGAATTTGACTCCAAAACCAGCGAATGTGCTTCTCCAGAGGTGGCACAGTGCGACCCTTGTAAGACAAAATCAGAGTGTGTGGTACTTAGTTGACGATTTTTGTAGATATTTCGACGACCACGACGACCGAAAGTACGGGAAGTACTACCACTAGGACGACCACCACGGAAAGTAGTACCACCACAAGCTCAACTACGACTGATAGTGGTACTACAACTGAAGGACCTTATCCGCAGTGTCCCAATTCCGAAGACATTATTTATTTGCCTGATATAGCAGACTGTTCTAAGTACTGGGAGTGTTTCGAGGGGAGTTCCTACATGTACCATTGTCCTGACGGTTTGTGGTGGAACCAAGCAGTACTTCAGTGCGACTATCCAGGGGATTATTGCAATATCTCGAGTAGGTACTGCCTTGTGACTTTGTTTTCTTAACTCGGTAATTTTTTAGCAACGACTAAAGGAAGTACCGTCACACCAACACCTACAATTCCAACGTCTACCACTTCTACATCAGGTACGACCCTATTGTCGTAAAATCTAGTACCAACTTTGTAATTTTAGGACCTACCACTACTCCAAATCCTGACGATATAACTTGTCCAAACCCTAACGACCAGTCAGTCTATTTTCCGGTGGTTGGCGACTGTACCAAGTACTGGGAGTGTTTCGAAGGAAACAAGTATTTATTGACTTGTCCTGAAGGCCAATGGTGGCACCAAGAAGCAACAAAGTGTGAACAACCAGGAGATTACTGCCAAAACTAAACCTCATGTAGTACAATATTCCAAAACAATAAAGTTGTTGACAAGAACTACCAAATTCTTTCTTGATTACACGTCAATGTCAAGTTTTTATCAAACTTTGACGTCATCAAAAAAACTATTCGAGCACCTCCCATTAGAATAACACTCAAAAAGAGTTCTTAGAAGAAATCGGTACCGACAGTACCAGTTCTTTCGCAGAACACTCGACGATAACACCAAGTCAAAGTACACTCTTGTGACATTTTTCTAGATCAATGAATCTATTTTTAACATCTTGAAATAGAAATGTAGTACCACTATCGCGCAACCTTGATCGAATAATAGAAACCGCTATCAAGATGAGTATTGTCTATAAAAGCACTTCTTCGCACTTCGGTGTCAGTTGAACTAGCGCACTACACCATGAAGAACGAAATTTTTGTGGCGATCTTCGCACTATGCGTTGGTGTTTGTCGTAAGTACCTCGGTACTACTTTGGTTTTGGTTAATTAAGTTCGCAGAGGCACAATGGACGCCGGACCCTTTTTGCCCGTACCCGTCCGACCACGTGACTCGGTACCCCTACTATGGTAACTGCTCGGTCTACTGGGAGTGCTATGAAGGGTCCAAGTACGTCATGGAGTGCCCAGAAGGGCTCGAATTTAACGCCCCTTTGCAACAGTGCGACACACCGTCGATTGCCAATTGTGATCCTTGTTAGTACTTTATTATTTCTATCTAGTCAAGTATAAAATGTTGTGTTTTTAGTTGCTAGTACCACTGGGAATCCGAATCCACGTAAGTACCTTTAGTTTGATAAAATTTGTTTGATGGTAGTTTTCAGCGACGTACACCACTGAGTCGACGGTGTCCCATCTTCCGGGACCCGACTGTCCGTACCCATCGGAAGAACTGATCTATTTCCCGTACCCGGGAGATTGTACCATGTACTGGGAGTGCTTCGAAGGTAACCACTATCTATATAACTGTCCTGATGGTCTTTGGTGGCACCAAGAGATCAGTCAGTGTGACTATCCGGGAGATTTTTGCACCAATTCTACTGGTAGGTAGTACCTTTTGACTGCAATAGGTGTAGCATGGTTTTGTAGGCACCCCCACCGTGACACCACCTATTTCAACCACCACCCATAATGGTCAACCCGACTGTACTGGTACTGGTGACGACCCCGTCTTCTACCCGTACTATGGTGACTGCACTAAGTACTGGGAGTGCGCAGACGGCAAACTCTACATTCAAGACTGTCCCGACGGGTTGTGGTGGCACCAAGAAGCCAATCAGTGTGACTACCCCGGAGCTTTTTGTACCAATTCGAGTCAGTAGTACCACTACTGGTAAGTACGGTACTACTTACTGGTTTTATTGTAGCTATACCGACGGACTCTACCTGGTCGACACCCACATGGACACCACCGCCAACCACATTGCCACCTCCAACGTGTGATGGTAGCAGCACCGACGAAATTTTCTATCCGTACCCTGGGGATTGTACCAAGTACTGGATGTGTACCCACGGAGATTTGTACTTGTACGAGTGTCCCGATGGGTTGTGGTGGGATCCGAACACATCGGAGTGTGAGTACCCGGGCGACTTTTGCTTCGATGGTACTACACCGAGTAAGTTTGAAGTAATTTGGTACAAGGAGGTGTTGATGGGTGGTTTTAGCAACAAATCCTACTACTCCGTTGGTGGAGTGTGAAGAGGAAGGTAGTTCGTACTTGCCGGACCCCAATAGCTGCCATTTGTTTGTATGGTGTCTAGATGGGTCATGGTACGAGGAAGAATGTCCCACAGGGTTGTACTATGACGAAGATACCCAGAAATGCGTACCTGCCGAGGAATCTGATTGTTGTCAAAATAGTACCCAGTGTTAATTTTGTTAACTGTAATAGTGTAAAAGTACTAATAATAAAGATCGTTGTGGCTTTTTTATAACACGGTGTTGTTATTTAGTAAGCCAGTAGTGGTACCAAGAACTTAGAAATCACACGAAGGCGAATTCTTCACGTGATAAAGTACCATCTTTCCTGATTGCAGAATCTACCGGATGTACCTATCAACATAAGATAAGAAAATCGAAGTACACAAAATGTTGTACCACTTGATCGGACAATAAAAAGCTATCAGTAGATGAGTTTCGTATAAAAGCACTTCTTCACACTTCGGTGCCATCAGTGACCAGAGTACTGCACCATGAAGAACGAAATTTTTGTTGCGATTTTCGCCCTGTGTGCTGGCTTTTGCCGTAAGTACTTTGGTACTACTTGCTATACTTTGCTAATTTAAACTGCAGAGTCACAATGGACCCCGGACCCTTTTTGCCCGTTCCCGTCGGACCACGTCACCCGGTACCCGTACTACGGTAACTGTTCGGTCTACTGGGAGTGCTACGACGGGACAAAATACGTAATGGAATGTCCCGAAGGGCTTGAGTTTAATGCCCCTTTGCAACAGTGCGACACGCCTTCGATTGCCAACTGTGATCCTTGTAAGTACTTCACCGTACTATCTATCTGTACATTAAACTAAACAATGTTTTCAGTTGCTTCGACTACTGCGAACCCGAATCCACGTAAGTACCGTCGCTTTTAAGAAAATTTGCTTGATGGGTGTTTTCAGCGACGTATAGTACCCATACGACGGTTTCGCTTCCTCCGGGACCCGACTGTCCGTACCCGTCCGAAGAACTGATCTATTTTCCGTTCCCGGGCGATTGTAACAAGTACTGGGAGTGCTTCGAAGGCAACTACTACCTTTTTCAATGCGAAGAGGGGCTTTGGTGGCACCAGGAGATAAGCCAGTGCGATTATCCCGGCGATTATTGCACGGATTACACTAGTAAGTAGTACCTTTCGTCTACCAGGTACTGTAGTACGGTTTTACAGCTTCTTCCACGCTCACGCCGCCCACCACCCAGGAAGGACAACCCGACTGTACTGGTACTGGTGACGACCCTGTTTTCTATCCAGTGGTTGGGGACTGCACTAAGTACTGGGAGTGCGCGGACGGGAAATTGTACCTTGAAGACTGTCCGGAGGGGTTGTGGTGGCACCAAGAAGCCAATCAGTGTGACTACCCCGGGGCATTTTGTACCAATAGTACTGTGCTAGTGTGAAGAGATCGACGAATGGGTACTACCGGATATATCCATCAATGTTAATTTTGTTAACTACTAATAAGTACTAAAAATAAAGCTTTTTTGTAGAAACTGTTTATCAATTTTTCTCGATATAATTAGGGTACTACAAGAGATGCATCCATCATCTTTATGGAACTTAATTATCGATCTGTTTTGCGTTAATACCCACTTATAAATGTGATTTAGCACGATTTAGTGTCATGATCGCCTTATCTCGAGTGTTTTTCTCCGAACAAAGGTGGAAACAATTTCATTGACTGTTGGAAATATAGTATTTACCTTGTTTTTTCAACCAAAAATTAAATATTTATTTTTAAAGAGATAAAAGACAAAAGGGTTAGTACTATGACTAGAATAAAAAAATAAATACAAAAAAATATGCAATAGATATATTGACAAAAATTTTAAGTGTTTAAAATGTAATTTTAACTCTAATTGTACTTTATCTCGATGGGCTTTTTCCTTTAGAATCAATGAAACAGAAGTGACTCACCTAAGTTTTTATCGCACTGTCTACATTTTGAAAGTCATCATAAATTTGAAAAACTACCAACAAAATTCTTTTATAGTCAAAACCATTAACTTATTCTTCAAAAGAACTAAATTCAAAACACTTTCAGTCATTGTTGCGCTGTGAGAGGTATGTCCGTGTCCACAAACAAAGCTGACTCATTTTCCAAATATCTAGATTGAGTCTGATAAATCACCAATGACTTGCCAAAACGATTGTCATCAAAGAGGGCACATCCGGATTGTCAACAAAGAATTACGTTGGTACTCAATCCTTTATTCCAAATTTAATATAAAAAGCGTTTTTGAAATTCTACAAATCAGTTTGGAAGCAACCAACACAACAAAATGACCACAAACCAGGTTCTTGCAGCTTTTATTCTAATTTGTAAGTATTCTAGCTTCTGGAAATTTTTGAATATTTTTGGTTTGTTTAGCTTGTCTGGCATTTGGTGCCACAGCAAAAGAGATCAGAGTTGAGGAAGATATCAAAGTCGGAGATGTGGCTATCTCCATCCAAATTATCGAAAAAACCGACGATGACGAAGGTAATTTTGTAATTTTTTGAAAGATTTTAACTAGGGGAGGTCAGAAGGAATTTAAAGTACTTTTTTAGGTAACGTAACAGTTTCTCCAACTACGAATGCCACGAATTTTTGGAACGGGACCACGATTTGGCCAATCACAAACTCCACCTCGTGGAATGTTACTACGGCTTGGCCAATCACCAACTCGACGTCCTGGAATGGTACTACACCGTACCCAATCACAAATTCCACTTCCTGGAATGTTACTACAGCTTATCCAATCACAAACTCGACTAACTGGAATGTTACTACACCTTACCCAATCACCAACTCGACGTCCTGGAATGTTACTACAGAGTACCCAATCACAAATTCCACTTCCTGGAACGTTACTACAGCTTATCCAATCACAAACTCGACTAACTGGAATGTTACTACACCTTACCCAATCACCAACTCAACGTCTTGGAATGTTACTACAGAGTACCCAATCACAAATTCCACTTCCTGGAACGTTACTACAGCTTATCCAATCACAAACTCGACTAACTGGAATGTTACTACACCTTACCCAATCACCAACTCGACGTCCTGGAATGTTACTACAGAGTACCCAATCACAAATTCCACTTCCTGGAACGTTACTACAATTTACCCAATAACGAACTCAACTTCCTGGAACGTTACTACAGTTTGGCCAATCGACAATGGAACCTCCCCGGGAAATATCACTCTAAATTAGGATCCAACTGGTAGTACTTGGTTTTACATTTTACAATGCTACTAGTACTAAGGTGGTACCAAATCTGAACGGTGTCAGTTCAGTAGTTAAAAAATAAACCCTGAAAATCACTTTTAGCTGTTTCATTCACACAAATTTCCTAATATCAGCAAAAACCGGTTTTGTCAAAACAAACGCATCGATTAGATACTAATCGTACCATAATCATGGAAAACAAAAATGCACTTATCAGAATATCTATATAAACGAATCACAGCCCGCCGTTTCATTCATTCATTCAAGATGTACACCCAAACTTTTGTTGTGGTACTAATTTCGTGCGCCTTTGCGGGTAAGTACTACCTCTATATTAAAAAATGATCTAACTCAGAAAAAGGAGCCCAGTGGACGCCCGATCCCTTTTGTCCTTACCCATCATACGAAGTCACCCGGTACCCGTACTATGGCGACTGTTCCCTCTACTGGGAGTGCTTCGAAGGGACAAAGTACGTCATGGAATGTCCTGAAGGACTCGAATTCAACGCGCCGCTGCAGCAATGCGACACACCGTCGATAGCCAACTGCGATCCTCGTAAGTACTTCACCAATTAAAATAGTTCCATTGTACGTATTTGTTTTGTAGTTGCTTCCACCACTGCTAATCCAAACCCACGTAAGTACCCTTTCAGTACCGTCGCAAGTTTTACCGGAAATTTTAGCCACTTTTAGTGTCGGACCGACGAGCTCGGATGGGCCTGGACCCGACTGTCCGAATTCAGAAGAAATTACGTACTATCCGTACGATGGCGACTGTACCATGTACTGGGAGTGCTACGCTGGTAATCACTACCTCTACAATTGTCCGGATGGTCTCTGGTGGCACCAAGCCATAAGTGAGTGTGACTACCCTGGAGATTTCTGTGGCGCGTCTACACTAACAGGTAAAACTATGTCTTGGTGGTACCAGTTTTGACTTTGTTTGAGCAGATGGTACCGGATCAACTGATATTCCTACGACCAAAGGCACTCCCGATCCTTTGTGTCCTCTTCCCGGGGACGAAGTCACCTATTATCCTTATCCTGGCGATTGTACGAAGTACTGGGAGTGTTTCGCTGGGGATAAGTACGAAATGACGTGTCCTGATGACCTGTGGTGGCACGAGGAAATAAGCGAGTGTGATTATCCCGGAGACTTTTGTACCAATGAAATTTAATTTTGAATTATATTAGTTCTGAATAAAGATGTTTGACGTTTAAAATCTTGTATCCGTTATTTTGAGTCGTGGTGATAAAACGTGACATTGATGGACGGAACGATACAATCTATTGTTTCATCTAATTATCTCTGGTACTACTCAATCACAATTTTCGAGTAAACAGACCTGAAATTAACTATTGATTTCAGTAGTACCAGATTGTCATTCACGATGTACAACACAATTTTTACGGTAGTACTTTTAACATGTACTGCTCTTCCAGGTGAGTACCACCTCCTCCAACTTAAACCAAAGTCGTTTGGTACCATTTTTGCTGTAGTTGTTTATGGGGTGTTGTTTGACGATTCCGAACCGGATTGTTCTTTAACCATTGGGAGTGTTTTGCTGGGGTGAAGTACGAAATGACGTGTCCTGCAGGACTGTGGTGGCACTAGGAGATAAGCCAGTGCGATTATCCTGGAGATTTTTGCGATTGTCCTTAGTTGGTTTAAAATGTAAAACTGATTCTAATAAAAAATTTACATTTTGGAATTTTAATTTTCAAACGAAAACTTATCAATACAGAAACGGACACGATGAACGATTAGATTACCATCTACTAAGTAACTTATCAAGAAACATATATAAAAGGACTGCATAGTACCGGATCATCATTCAAGATGTACAGCAAAATTTTCACAGTAGTACTTCTAGCCTGTGCTGCTTTACCAGGTAAGTACTACTTCCTCCTACTAGAAAAAAATTGTTTGGTTTTGTTTTTACTTTTTCAACCACAATTGTAGCAGTTTTTGGGAGTCCGTCTGACGATTCCGGGCCGGACTGTTCCTCAGTAGAAGATGGTACCTTTTATCCTTACCCCGGTGACTGTACTCAGTTTTGGGAGTGCCTTGAAGGTAAGAGTATACTCTTCAATTGCCCCGCGGGTTTGTGGTGGCACCAAACAGTAGGCTTGTGCGACTTCCCGGGAGATTACTGTGACGATTCCACTGGTACGTTTTTTGGTTGTGGTGGTACCGGTTTGATGGTTATTTTGACAGGTTCTTTGATTAATTTGACTTCGGATCCTTTGTGTCCTTATCCTTCGAATGACATCACGTATTTTCCTTATCCTGGAGACTGCACGAAGTTTTGGGAGTGTTTTGCTGGGGTGAAGTACGAAATGGCGTGTCCTGCGGGACTCTGGTGGCACCAGGAGATAAGCCAGTGCGATTATCCTGGAGATTTTTGTCAGGATTCGTAGTTATGTTAAATAAAATGTAGGAAATGATGGGAATAAAGATGGTGTTGCATTAAAGTGTTGTTTCTTTTATTATTTAGATAATCTCCGAAACTACTTGACCGATTGTTGTCACATTTTGTCACATTTTGTATGTTAGGGATGTCATGATAATAAAAGTTAAAAATTGACAGAATCTTGATCTTGTGGTTTATGAATTCGTATTGAATTTTCACCCTAAACATCGAAATTTTTCGAAAAAAAAAGCAGAATTGTAGATATAACAATTTTTCGATATCTCAGTTTTTGATTTTGAATTTTTCGGTTTTTTAATTTTCCGATGTTCGGTTTTTGCGATGTCTCAAATTTTCAATTCTGGACGTTTCTAAATTTTCCATTTTTCGATGTTTCAGTTTTAGGATTTTTCAATTATCCGATTTTTCAATTTTTTTTCAATTTTCCAATTTTTCGACTCTTCAATTTTTCGATTTGTCAAATTTTCGACATTTGACGTTTTTCAATTTTCGATTTTTCGACTTTTCGATTTCCCAATTTTTTAATTTTTCAATTTTTCGATGTTTCCGTTTTGGATTCTTCAGTTTTTCGATTTTTCAATTCGTCCATTTCTCAATTTTTCGATATTTCAGTGTTGGGATTTTTCAATTTTTCGATTTTTCAATTTCTCATATGTTTGAAGTTTCTGAATTTTCGATTTTTCAACCTCCATTTTTCAATTTATCGATTTCTCGATTTTTGAAATTCTTAATTTGTAAATTTTTCGATATTTCAGTTTTGGGATTTTTCTATATTTTCATTCTCCAATTTTTCGTTTTTTCGACCTTTCGATTTATCGATTCCTCAATTTTTCGATTTTTTGTGTTTACATTTTTTGATTTTCAATTTTTCGAATTTTCAGTTTTTCGATTTTTCGATTTGTTTTTTTTTAATTTTTAATTTCCCTATTTTTTACTTTTCATTTTTTGGATTTTTGGATTTTGGTCTATTTCGATTTCTCAATTCTTCGATTTTTCGACTGCTCGCCTTTTCAATTTTTTGATATTTCGATTTCTTGACATCTAGGTTTTTCCAGTTTCAAAATTTGTCGACGTTTCGATTTTTTTAGGTTTCTTGATTTTTCAATTTTTCGATTTCTAGTTTTTCGATGGTTCACTTTTGGTATTTTTCAGTTTTAAAATTTTTCAAATTTTCTTCCATTTTTCAATTTTTCGATATTTCAGTTTTGAAATTTTTCAATATGACGATTTTTCGATTCCTAGATTTTTTTGTTTTTAGATTTTGCAATTTTTCGATTTTTAAATTATAGATTTTTTTGTTTTTTAGCTTTCGGATATTTCTGTTTCAATTTTTCTAATTTCTAAATTTTAGATTTTTCAGTTTTTTGGTGTTTCGACTTCTCGATCTTTTGAGTTTTCTACTTTTCGGTTTTAAATTCTTCGGTTTTTCAATTTCTCGATTTTTGATTCTTGAATTTTCGGTTTCTAAATTTTTAAATTTTTTAGTTTTTTGATTTGTCAAATTTTCGACTTCTCAATTTATCGAGATTTCGATGTTTCAACTTTTTAATGGTTAAATTTTTCGATTTCTCAATTGATGGATTTTTTTACCTTCAGTTTTTGGATTTTTCGATGTTTGAAATTCTTCGATTTGTCGATTTCTCGGTTTTCGATTTTTAAATTCTTTGGTGTTCTTACATTTATTCAATTTCCTTAATTTTTAAATTTTTCAATTTTTTTAGTTTTTCGCACATTTTGACTTTCTCCGAATTTTAAAATGCTTCGACATTTCAATTTTTAGATTTTCGATTTTTCAGTTTTTCGATAGTTTAATTTTTTTTCAATTTTCCAATTTTTCGGTATTTAATGTTTCTAAATTTTCAATTATTCGGTCACGATTTTACGACTTTTCAGTTTCCCGATTATTAATTTTTTAATTTCCCAATTTTTCGATGTTTCATTTTTTAGGATTTTCTATATTTCGATTCTCCAATTTTTAGATTTTTCGACTTTTCGATTATTGATTCCTCGATTTTTTACTTTTACGATTTGTGAATTTTTCAATTTTTCGAATAATGAAATTTTATATTTTTCAGGTTTTTCCGATTTTTCTACTTTCCAATTTTTCGATTTTTAAAATTGTTGAATATTCAATTTATCGGTTTTTAAACTTCTCTACAGTTTTCAGTTTTTCGATTCCTCCATTTATCAATTTTTTTTATTTTTAATTTTTCAATTTTGTAGTTTTTGACTTTGCGATTTTTCGATTTTGAGGTATTTCGAATCCTCAATTTTCGATTTTTTCGATTTTTAAAATTTCGATTTCTTTACATCCAGGTTTTTCAGTTTCAAAATTTTTCGAAGTTTCGATTTTTTAGATTTTTCGATATTTCACTTTTTGTATTTTTCGGCTTTTCGATTTTTCAATTTTTTCCATATTTGGACTTTTGATTTATCGATTTTTTGCTCTTTGGGGTTAAAAAGTGGAGTCGAAAAATCGAAAATTTCAGAAATAGAAGAATTGAAAAATCAAAAAAACAAAGATTTTGAGTAACTTTGGCGATTTTATCAATTTTTCAGTTCCTAATTTTTCGAATTTTTCGTTTGGGTTTTTTTCAGTTCTTGGATATTTCTATTTTTCAATTTTTCCAATTTTTAAATTTTAGATTTTTCAGTTTTTCCATTTTTTGAGTTTTCGACTTTTCCGTTTTAAATTCATCGGGTTTTCAATTTTTCGATTTTTAAAATTTTTGACCCTAGAATTTTCGGTTTCTAAAATTATCAATTTTTCAGTTTTTCGATTTTTCAAATTTTCGATTTGTTTTTCAAACTCCTCACTTTTTCAGTTTTTATCTTTTCGATTTTTCGATTTTGGCATATTTCGATTCCTCAATTCTTCAATTTTTTTCCGATCTTTGAAATTTTGCTTCTCGATATCTCAGTTTTTGAATTTTTGAAAATTGAAGATGTGAAAAAGTGGAAAAACGTAAAATTGAACCATCGAAAATTGAAAATCGTGAAATTGAAAAACTGGGAAATTGTAAAATCGAACAACTGACGAATCCCAAAACTGAAATTTCGAAAAATTGAAAAATGAAAGAAAAACTGAAAAGTCCCAAAATTGAAATAGGTATCCAAAAACTGAGAAATTAAAAAAAAATCAAAAAAGTGGGGTCGAAAAATCGAAAATTTCAGAAATAGAAGAATTGAAAAATCAAAAAAACAAAGATTTTGAGTAACTTAGGCGATTTTATCAATTTTTCATTTCCTAATTTTTCCAATTTTTCGTTTGGGTTTTTTTCAATTCTTGGATATTTCTATTTTCTGAAATCTATGGAGAATAATTTGTAATATCATATATTTATTCTTTATGTATACACAGATAATAAATAAATAAATTTATGTCAGCGTTGGAAATTCTCTGCTAATCCCACTCACAATCGACATTAGCGGCAACGTCGCACCTTCCCAGGGCCTGACTCCAGTAATATCCCGCGGGGCACTGATGCAAATACGTGTTTCGTTGATAACATTCCCAGAATTTAGTGCAGTCGCCCTCATAGGGGAAATATATGACCTCATCACCCGTTGCAGAGCAAGGTGGACGATCTAGAATTCCACTTTAGAGTAGATTAACAAAAAAAAAAATAAATAAATAAAAAAAATACCTGTTGAAGGAGCCCAAGTGACCGTGGTAATGTCATCTGAAAATAACACACTTACTAAATACCAACTCTGAAAAATAAAAACAAAACTTACTGGGGTCACAATTGACCGCTCCCGCCGCTTCACAGTCTTGACGTTCGTAATCAAATTCGAACCCATCTGGGCAACTTAGCAAGGTTTTGGTACCACCCAAGCACTCGTAGTACTTGGTGCAGTCACCTGGCACAGGAAATCTGGTGGGTTCGTATGACGGGTACGGACAGAGAGGGTCGGGTGTCCATTGGGCCACTATTATACAATTACGATTAGTATTATCACCTATATGACATTTAAAACGTTGTACTTACGTGCAGCTGCCACCAAGAACAATACAGCAGTTATAGTCTTCATTGTGTGTATGGATTTTGTCGTTCTGTGGATCCAATATCAACTAATTTCGCTTTTATACTTTTTCTAATTATTACGAAATTTGCTTTTTTTTTTGTATTAGAGTCAGAATATGAAGTGTTCTCAAGAAATGTTAATATCTGATTAGCATTGTCCGATTGTATCGCCGGATGTTTTTCTGTTTTTTAAATGATTTTAACGATAAGGAGCAGATTATCGGGAGAATGTGACAGATTGGACGAATTTCTATTGTGTTTTGAGTTAGTTAATTAATTAAAAAGATCTTATTTATATTTTTCTTTTATTATTTAAGAGGATTATTTAGTCATAATTAAATTTATATTCGGTGGGTTTATCATGCCACTGCAAGTGCATGCTTGAGGTGAAGTACTGCACCGATAACGTAAGGATAAGCGTCCGCAGTGAAAATATATTTTTTTGGTTTAATATAAACCGAGAAGCTTGATTTTGATTTTTCGACTTCACTTTTTTGGTCTTTTTATTTCTCAATTTTTCAATTTTTTAATTTCTCAGTTTTTCCATTGTTCACTACTTTTTCTTTCATTTTTCAGTTTTTCGAAATTTTAGTTTTGGGATTTTTCTGATTATTTATTTTTCAATTTTTCGATTTTACAATTTTCCGATGATTCAGTTTTACGTTTTTTCAATGCTACGATTTTCAAATATTTTGATTTTTCAGTCCTTGACTTATATAAACACAATTTTTCGATTTTTCAATTAATCGATGTTTGATTTTTCCATTTCTTGACTTCCGATTGTTTCGATTTTTCAGTTCTTCAATTTTTCGATTTTCCATTTTTTCAATTCAATTTTTCGATTTTTAAATATTTCGATTTTTCAGTTCTTCATATTTGACTTTTATAAACTCCCAGTTTTTCGATTTTTCATTTCTTCAATTCTTCAATTTTTCAGTTTTTTAGGTATTTAATTTTTCAATTTATTAAGTTTCGATTTTTCGATTTCACTTTTCCGATTTTCCGATTTCTCAATTTTTCAATTTTTTGATTTCTCAATTTTTCGATGTTTCAATTATGGGATTGTTCAGAATTTCTTTCATTTCTCAATTTTTAGAGATTTCAATGATGTGATTTTTTACTCTATTTATTATTCAGTTTTTCGATTTTACAATTTCTCAATTTTTCAATTTCTCGGTTTTCAACTTTTCGATTTCTCAATTTTCCGGTGTTTCAGCTTTACGTTTCTTCAATCATTCCCCTTTTCAATTTATTAATTTTTGACTTCTCTAAATTCCCAATTTTTCGATTTTACGATTTCCAATTTTTCTCTTTTTCAATTTTACGATTTTTCAATTTTTCAAATTTCACTGTTATAAACTCTCAGTTTTTTGATTTTTCATTTCTTTAATTCTTCAATTTTTCACAGTTTAGGTATTGTAATTTCTCACTTTTTGGGGCTTTTCAGTTTTTCTTTCATTTTTCAATTTTTCGAAAGTGCAGTTTTGGGTTTTTCAAATAATTTATTTTTCAATTTTTCGAGTTTACAATTGCTCAATTTTTCAATTTTACGATTTTCAATTTTTCGATTTCTCAATTTTACGATGCTTCAGTTTTACGTTTTTTCGGTTTTACTCCTCTTCAATTTTACAATTTTCAAATATTTCGATTTTTCAATTCATTAATTTTTGACTTTTCCAAAATTCTCAATTTTTCGATTTTTCAATAAATCGATGTTTTAATTTTCCCATTTGTTGACTTCCGACTGTTTCGATTTTTCAGTTCTTCAATTCTTTAATTTTTCGAATTTTCAGTTTTGGGATTTTTCAGTATATTTACTATTCAATTTTATAATTTCTCAATTTCACGATTTTTTAAATTTAACTTTTATAAACTCTGTTTTTCGATTTTTCGTTTCTTCAATTTTTCAATTTTTCAGCTTTTTAGGTTTTTGATTTTTCAATTTTTTAAGGTTTTGATTTTTCGACTTCACTTTTTGGCTTTTTTATTTTTCAGTTTTTCAATTTCGCAGTTTTTGGATATTTCACATTTGAGATTTTTTCATTCTTCAGTTTTTCTTTCATTTTCAATGTTTCTAAAGTTTTGGGATTTTCAATTATTTATTTTTCAATTTTTCGAGTTTCCAATTTCTCAAATTTTCAATGTTTCGATTTCTCAATTTTCCCATGTTTCAGTTTTACTCCTCTTCAATTTTACGATTTTTAAATATTTCGATTTTTTAATTTATCAATTTTTGACTTTTTTAAATTCTCAATTTTTCGATTTTTCAATTAATCCATGTTTTGATTTTCCCATTTCTTGACTTTCGACTGTTTCGATTTTACAGTTCTTAAATTCTTCGAATTTTCAGGTTTTTGATTTTTCAATTTTTCTACTTTTTTAAGGTTCGATTTTTCGACTAAACTTTTTTGATTTTTCGATTTCTCAATTTTTCAATTTTTTAAATTCTCAATTTTTGGAAATTTCGATTTTGGGATTTTTCGACTTTTCTTCCATTTTTCAATTTTTCGAATTTTCAGTTTTGGGACTTTTTAGTGTATTTATTATTCAATTATATAATTTCCCAATTTCACGATTTTCAATTTTTCGATGTTTCAATTTCACGTTTTCCCATTTTTCTCCTCTTCAATTTTACGATTTTGAAATATTTCTATTTTTCAAATTTAACTTTTATAAACTCTTTTTTGACCTTTTTATATTAAATTCTTCAATTTTTTAATTTTTCAGTTTTTAGATATTTCAGTTTTGGGATTTTTCTGTTTTTCTTTCATTTTTCAATATTTCGATATTTCAGTTTTGGGATTCTTGAAATTATTCAATTTTACAATTTTCAAATAATTAGATTTTTCCATTTATCAATTTTTGACTTTTCTAAATTCTCAATTTTTCGATTTTTCAATTAATCCATGTTTTGATTTTCCCATTTCTTGATTTTCTACTGTTTTTGTAATTTTCAGGTTTTTGATTTTTCAATTTTTGAACTTTTTTGAAGTTTCGATTTTTCGACTTCACTTTTTTGATTTTTCGATTTCTCAATATTTCAACTTTTGGATATTTCTATTTAGGGATTTTTCAACTTTGCTTCCACTTTTCAATTTTTCGAAATTTCAGTTTTGGGATTTTTCAGTATATTTATTATTCAATTTTATAATTTCTCATTTTCACGATTTTCAATTTATCGATGTTTCAACTTAACGTTTTCCAAATTTTTCTCCTCTTCAATTTTACGTTTTTTAAATATTTCGATTTTTCAAATTATTTGTTTTTCAATTCTTCGAGTTTACAATTTCTCAAATTTTCAATTTTTCGATTTTCAATTTTTCGACTTCTCAATTTTCCTATGTTTCAGTTTTACGTGTTTTCAGTTTTACTCCTTCAATTTTACGATTTTTAAATATTTAGATTTTTCAATTTATCACTTTTTGACTTTTCTAAATTCTCAATTTTTCGATTTTTCAATTAATCCATGTTTTGATTTTCCCACTTCTTGACTTTCAGACTGTTTCGATTTTACAGCTCTTCAATTCTTCAATTCTTCGAATTTTCAGGTTTTCGATTTTTCAATTTTTCTACTTTTTTAAGGTTCGATTTTTCGACTTCCCTTTCTTGATTTTTCGATTTCTCAATTTTTCAGTTTTTTAAATTCTCAATTTTTGGGGTTTTTGGGATTTTTCGACTTTTCTTCCATTGTTCAGTTTTTCGAATTTTCAGTTTTGGGACTTTTTAGTGTATTTATTATTCAGTTTTATAATTTCCCAATTTCACGATTTTCAATTTTTCGATGTTTCAATTTTAGGTTTTTGAAATATTTATATTTTTCAAATTTAACTTTTACAAACTGTTTTTGCACTTTTTTATATCAAATTCTTCAATTTTTTAATTTCTCAGTTTTTGGATATTTCAGTTTTGGGATTCTTCAGTTTTTGTTTCATTTTTCAATTTTTGGAAATTTCAGTTTTGGGATTCTTCAGTTTTTGTTTCATTTTTCAATTTTTAGAAATTTCAGTTTTGGGATTCAAATTATTTATTTTTCAATTTTTCGCGCTTAGAATTGCTCAATTTTTCAATTTTACGGTTTTCAATTTTTCGATTTCTCAATTTTCCGATGTTTCAGTTTTACGTTTTTTCAGTTCTACTCTTCTCCAATTTTATGATTTTTAAATTTTTCGATTTTTCAAATAATCCATGTTTTGATTTTCTCATTTCTTCACATTCTACTGTTTTTGTTATTTTCAGGTTTTTGATTTTTCAATTTTTCAACTTTTTTGAAGTTTCGATTTTTCGACTTCACTTTTTTGATTTTTCGATTTTTCAATGTTTCAACTTTTGGATATTTCTATTTAGGGATTTTTCAACTTTGCTTCCATTTTTCAATTTTTCGAAATTTCAGTATTGGGATTTTTCAGTATATTTATTATTCAATTTTATAATTTCTCATTTTCACGATTTTCAATTTATCGATGTTTCAACTTAACGTTTTCCAAATTTTTCTCCTCTTCAATTTTACGTTTTTTAAATATTTCGATTTTTCAAATTATTCATTTTTCAATTCTTCGAGTTTACAATTTCTCAAATTTTCAATTTTTCGACTTCTCAATTTTCCTATGTTTCAGTTTTACGTGTTTTCAGTTTTACTCCTCTTCAATTTTACGATTTTTAAATATTTCGATTTTTTAATTTACCAATTTTTGACTTTTCTAAATTCTCAATTTTTCGATCTTTCAATTAATCCATGTTTTGATTTTCCCATTTCTTGACTTTCGATTGTTTCGATTTTACAGTTCTTCAATTCTTCGAATTTTCAGGTTTTTGATTTTTCAATTTTTCTACTTTTTTAAGGTTCGATTTTTCGACTTCACTTTCTTGATTTTTCGATTTCTCAATTTTTCATTTTTTTAAATTCTCAATTTTTGGTAATTTCGATTTTGGGATTTTTCGACTTTTCTTCCATTTTTCAATTTTTCGGGTTTTCAGTTTTGGGACTTTTTAGTGTATTTATTATTCAATTTTTTAATTTCCCAATTTCAGGATTTTCAATTTTTCGATGTATCAATTTTACGTTGTACCATTTTTCTC